ATGAAAGTTGCCTTATATTTACCAAGGATTTTCTCAAAGCTGACTGATTGTAAATGTAGATACTTCGATGAAACAAGGGAGACTACTATTTTTTTTGTATCGGAAATGGCTGTCGGCGCCGAAAAATCCGAGTTTTTAATTTTCCGATGTGTGTGTCTATTTATTATTAAATTAGTTCTTTCCACATATATTTGAGTTCCGTTTCCGGCCTTATAATTTGGAAGACATCTTGGCCTACATTTCTAGCCAGCTATTTTGCTTTTTTCAATCGACCTTTATTTTGAAAATCTTTGGTATATATAAGGCATCTTCGCATACAAAATTTTTTGTGAAATAATAAGATAAGGTCCTTTTTTATTAAATCTGTATGAGCATTAGATATTGATCTATATCTGTGCCAAGTTTCATTGATGTAGGTCGTGTCTCACGTTTGTTACACTTGTCACAGTGACCCATATCACCATAAGGTGGCTCAGCCTAATTTCGACATGGCGTGGGCCACGCCCCCTTTTTAATGGCGGAAGTTGCCGATACTTAGGAAATATTTAATTATTACCACTATATACATCAAAATATTTTATATTTTGTGTTTCAGAATGCATTTTGAAGACATTTAAACTGGAAATGTTTTAATTTGAGCTTTAAAAACCCTGCAGAGTCCATATTATAAATGATCAGAATTTTCCCTGTGCAACACGTTGTCATTGGCAACCATTCACAGCCACTTGCATAACGGCTACGTCGTAGTACTATCTCAGAGTTTCATTCATAAGAGTTTGCCGTGTGCAAAAGCTATTAAACCATTGGTCAGGGAAAGCTTTTATTAATTATTCATGTGCCAAAGTTGAAAGTTTAAAATAAGTCGACCCTAAACAGTATTTTAGTGATAGGGAATGCGTTGCCTTATATAAACTATATAGTCATTGCGCATGACTCGATCAGTGGAATGAGGTCACAGAATGTGGAGATGAAGTCCATGTTAAAAAATGACAAACCAAGTCGTACTTTAAAAATTCATAACTTTAAAACTACAACAGCTAAAAATATGATTTTGGTGTTATAATTCTGTTTAAAATTAGCTCTATTCAACTGTGCCATTGGTTTATTTTTAAAAAATGTTTACATTTTTGACAAAAGTATCTAGTAAATGAAAAAGAAATTGATTAAAATGTAGGCCAAGATGTCTACCTAATTATAAGGCCGAAAACGGAACTCAAATATATATCGAAAGTACTAATTTAATAATAAATAGACACACACATCGGAAAATTAAAAACTCGGATTTTTTGGAGCCGATTGCGAAATCCCATACTCATACACAAAAAGTAGTAGTCTCCCTTGACTTACCGAAGTATCTATATATAACTATATTTAAAATAGAATTTAAAAAAACAATAAAATTATAAACATATTCTTACTTGCTTTTAGCTTTACGTCACATTGTTATTATGATTGTTCTTCGTGTTTCTTCAAATCAACGTCATATAAAAGTCTTCAAAAAATGGCTATTTCTCGATTGATAACAATGGCTCTAAGTCTAAGATGGCATACCAACAGGAAGTATCCGTCATAATCATAGCTTGACCCAGGGCTGCCACTCACATCTTTAAAATTTCCCAAGATTTGGAGAACAAATTTCCCAAGATTTCCCAAGATCATAGAAATATATAAGAGTTTTTTTAAAAAAAGGGTTTTTCTATGTAATTAATGTAATAATAGATTGAATTAATGCCCATGAAAAACATAGTACATTAATTGTTTGAAATTTATTGAAATCTACATGCATAGGAGCCAAAATGATCAATAAATTGATCGTGGGCCCTTAAGATATAGAAGAAGAAGAAGAAGAAAAAGACATTTTAAAAAAATGTTTATCACATAAAAGAAACATACAATTTGTTTTTTTTTAAAATAATTTATAATCCAAAATATCAATACCCACTGAAGTTAGGCTACTAAATATTACCTCCGAATTCTCTGGTAAAAATATCATCTACAATACATGTGTAATAGAAGTCACTTGGAAACAAAGCTTATAAGTCTAATGAACACAGAATTCCTTTTACAAGGGCAAAAGGTTCTTGATCAAAAAATGATTTTTCTTATTGTAAGTCTGTTGATTAGAAGTGAGGTTTGCAAAGCAATGAAGCAAAATTTATTAATAATAATTGTAGTTAAAATGGATTGATATTATTATGAAAACAATAAGTATTTTTTATTTTTTTCTTGTAAATTTATATTATAACGATTTTTTCAACAAAATAACATACTTTTAAATGTATTGTTCATTTATAATCCTACAACGTAGGCCAATACTTTTAATATCTTAGTTACCTGTGTTTCAATCCACAAATATTTTTTTCCAATTGATGAAAATTAGGCTGGATTTTTTACAGATGCATTATATTTTGAATACATTGTATGAGTAATTGAAATAATCAAATTTTACTATGGCATGGATCCTTGATTGAACACTACTATCTTTCACTCTTCGGCTTGTAGGCCTACTGTTTTTCGTATGTTTGCTAATGTCTAATAAATAGCCTAATGATAAAGTTTCCGAGCCTACCCCCCCCCTTTTTAATAAACAGTCAAAACCTGGATGTAATTTGTAAATCTTCAATTTTTTAAAAAATAGAAGAGAAAATTGATTTTTTCTTTAATTATTAACTTTGTAACATTTCGCAATAATAATAACTTTAATATCAGAAGAGTTTTTATTTATTTGATGAGTCGATTTAAAATTTAAAACCAGAAAAGAAAATTAAAACAATTAATTTTTTGCTTTGTTACTTTAAAAAATTATTTTTCTTTATTTTCACTTTATTTTTTATCACATATTGTGGTTTTTTTCGAAAAATATAATAACATTTTCCCACCAGTTAAGATTTCCCAAGGTTTGCCTGATTTTCAAAATTATTCCCCAGATTCCAAGGGGGGTCGTGAATTCCCAAGATCTTTGGAAATTTCCCAAGGTGTGGTAGCCCTGGCGTGACCAACCGAAGATTGTAAAGCCGTCACGTGACCAACCGGGTCCGAATTGCCAATTGCTGCTATAGGTACCAGGTCACTCTTGGCAAGGAATATTCAGAGAAAACAGATAAAGGAAACACTCCTACAAACAAAAAAATTTTGATAATTAAAAAAAATAAATAAAGATTGATGCTAAATCCATCGGAGCCAAAGATATAACTTAAACCACATACTGGAGGAAAAAAAAAGAAACTAACTCTAAAATGTCTGTAACAATTGCAATATAAAATAACATTGTTGGGCATAATAAGAAAAGATAGAAGAGTACCTGGAGTAGGTCGATAGCTAAATAAATAAGTTATTAAATTGAACAAGGTATGCTATGAAAACAATGCACAGAAAGAAGATGGCGCAAAGCAAAAGCTGAACAATTATATTGTGCATTTTATTAAGATTTTACAATTTTGGGAATTTTCATATTTTGGCGTGAATACAATGTGAAAATGGCGCTTTTGCGCCAGGCTTCATTATAATGGAAATGGTAGGCCTACTTATCCTAATTATTATTATTGCGTCCTGAACTATTTATCACGTATTACCTTTAGTTTAATTAAATTATAAAACTTGATAATCATTTGAAGAAATATTTGGTGTGTGCATAGTTGAGTTATTTATAATTATAATTATCATTAGATATAATTTATAAAATACTATATACCCCAAAGGTATAAATATTTTAGAAATTATTTTGGTCCGGTTGGATAAATAATTTTAAGATAGTTGCAAACAGCAAGGCGTGGTAGAATTTTTTGGGAGAAACAACGGAAGAAGTTTATAGAACAGCTTATAGTTGCTACTAGCTCAACTGGGTGCAGTTCAGCACCATTATATACACGAGACACTCTTCATATCAGTAATAATAATAATATAAATAAACATAGATCAGAAAATACAATAGATCTACCATTAAGGCAAAGTGATCATTCTTTTGATCAGTGTTTAGTGTACTTCAAATGATGACTTTGTAACGTTTGGATGCAAATGACTCCAAATCTATGTCGTAATCGAGATCGCGCGTGTTTTAAAGACATAAAACAATATAGGAATAGAGTAAAAGTGATGAAAATGAACTACCCGGTATTTTATTCTTAAATTCATACAAAGCAACGAAAAATAATAAAAAAACTGGGACTGGGTTGGCTTTAAAAACTAAGTTGCTTAAAAAAATTTTTTTCCTTAGCAGCAGAGCAATAGTTCTTACAAACATAGGTTTTTGTTAACAAACGTGTAGACATTGGAATCATTAGACGCAAATTTAACATAGACTGTCCTTGAAAACTCATGCAATTTATTTTGAAAAAAATCTTGAGTCGTAACAAACAAAGTCTCCAAAAAGCTCCAATATGAAAATTGTTATAGTATTTAAGTTTTAAGATGGGTTGTAATAACTATCACAAGTCTTTCTTCGAGGGTATTGGAACTTAAAGAATCAACAGAAATATTTGAGAGTTCTAATAATGGGACATTTTATGTCTTGAATATTTGGTAAATATTTGAAACGATATCTGAAGTTAAGACGTTGTTCCAAAAATCGATTTCAGACGCCAACAACAAATCCAAGATCACTTTTCTTTTCAGTCATGTAGGCCTATACTAATCGCCATTTAAAAATAATTGTCCAGCAAATTAAAAAAAACACAACATTTAATGTGGTTTGATAGAAATTAAATGGATTTCAATATTTTAATATTAATTATAAAAATAATAAATTAAATTTTAGGATAATAAGTTAATTTTATATAGGAGAAAAAGTCATAAAAATTTTTACATTTTCAGGAAGTAACATTTATTTTATCTCCTATTTTGTATGCTTCTTATGGTATACCATTAGATCAAATTAAAAATAAGAGGGAGTGGTAAAAAACTTAATTAAAAAAGACAACAGAAAAAATTAATTTATTTACTTAGAAAATGTGTTGAAAATATTTTCTAGCTTTAGATTTTACTATGCACCGCTTTCCGGATGTCAACTTTTTAAAAATGGCGGTGTGCTTAGGATAAGTCACTTCATTTTACCTCACACATTTATATTACAATTTATTGTTAATCAAATTACGTAAAAAAATGTTCAAAAAGAAGGCTGATGTTGACAAGCATGTTAGTGCTGTTCTATCACGTAAAAGAGATGAAAAAGAGGTATATATTTATCAAATTTATTATTGGTAAATTTTGTCAGTGTTCGTTTCACTTTTTAATTTTAAGTCATTAAAAATTAGCCTCGTTTATAAAAAAAAAAAATTAAAAAGAAAAATTGAAAAACTAGATTTGGTTCTGATTCCCTAGCTAACCTTTTTAGTCTTTAAATTAAATTACTAAGTCTGTCCCTAAATTTCAAAATATATTTTTTGTCTTAAGTTTAAAATAAAAAAAATCTTTAGGCCTAACAGTTTAAATGCAATCAACATGTAATTTTTTTGTTTTTGCCTTTACAAATAATAATTATTTCCAAATTTTTTTGCACATGATTTTCTCAACATACCTGGAATAAAATTATCCAAAATAAGAAGTCTTGATGTAATGTAAAATTTATATTGTTCTTTGTGTTAGTTATTAGATTAGGAATGTCTCCTGAAAATTTGTTGCAATTATCTTTAAAAATAAAAATGTTGTGGACAAAATAATGCAGAAATGTGAAATTTGGGTCACACGTTTTGGAGGTAAAATATATAGATTATATAAGGGGCATAAAAAATTTGACAAATAAAATCAAAACTCCACTTCTATAAAAGATAAAAAGATGAAATTGGTGTTGTTATAAAGCTTATAGCTAGCCCTTTAAAATGATGTATCATTCATGGTAATCTGACTGAGAATATTTAAATTTTGTGTCAAAGTACCTACTTCTATCATTTAAAATATTTTTGAGCTAGTAATATGAATTTTCAGGTCAACTTACGCTTTACGGCCCCATGATTGATTCCCCTTTTAGTTTGTCAATTGTTTTTAGAGTTAACGCTCACTTTTTGTATATTAAAACTGAGATGAATTTTATTTTTAATTAATATTTGGTCAATTAATACATTCTGCGCCACTCATTTCCCAGTGTTTTTTAAGCTAATTTTTTCTCCATGACATCCTTTGGGTTAACCCACCATTCCTTGTGTGTATTATCTTTCTCCATGTATTATTGACCTTCCTATTTATTTCCTGGCAACTTTATGTCCCTCAAATATGGGATAAGAATCAGCCATGTCAACAAAATTTAGTCTCCCCTACACTTACACTCAAATTATCCCAAATGTTCTCAGTTGAGTTATTGTTTACATATTGCAGATCACAATTTTAGCCATTTATTAGATATATTTTAGACTGAGTTGGGGTGTTGCCTGTAAAAGACTGGATATAACAAGCATCAAATTTATTGTACATGTACATTGACACAATAACAAGTAGAGCCCTTGGAAACCACAATAATTTCAAGGTCACATCTTTCTGACCTTTCCCCACCATTTCACTTCTTCATGTTTTTTCCAGTCTTTGTCATTACTCTTAGGCACTCAATGCTTTGTTTCATTAGTTAAAAGTAAAATAATTCCCCATAAAATAAACATTGCACTGGTATTAGAGCTCATTTAATATTTAAAAAAATGGAACTAAGATCCATGCTAACAGTTTTTTTAGCCAAATACCATGTACATTTTTAAATTCCAAGTGAGTTCGATTTTTGTTATTTACATCTATGCATTGCACCTCCACCTGTTGTAACCTAAATCAGTTGTTTTCATTCCATGATGGTACTTTATTATTTTATAACTAAATAATTTTAAATCACTTAAATATTAACCTAATAGAATTTAAAAAAAAAAATGTATTTTATTCAGTAGTCTAATATTTCGTGAAAAAACTTTTTCTAAATAGTCGTATAAATTCAAAGATGCCATAGTAATTTATTCCCAAGCAATGTGACCAACAATTACTTACATCAAACCAGTACCTTCAGAAATGTGTTTTGTGTTTGAAAAATGTATTGGCCAAAAACAAAAAGGACATGCCTAGGAGTGGTACAAAACTCATGCTATAGCAAGAAAAACTATTTAAAGCTACTTAAAAATTCAACCTATTATTTTGTATAGTAATTAGTTGTTTTGGTTCAGTAATAATTAGGAAGTAGATGGTTTGCTTCTTAAGCTCAGTCCTTTTTCTTAACCTCAAACTTTCAAGTATAATACTTTTAAATTTGAAAAATGTTGATATTATATAATTAGAGGAACCATTGGGGTTGTACTGATTATTCTGACAGATTTATCTGCTGATGATGCTCTTTAGATATGTGATGTAAATTGTAAGGAAACCTTGTTTGTTCTCTGCTAAACCTTCAATCTATATCTGGAATTCACTAAGGAAGCAACTCAGGCGATAACACTTTCTTGGTTATTATCTTGTTCTTTTATTGGGCTGATACTTCGCTTATACCTTCTCTCCGTCTCACACTCTGACAGTCCTGTACTCCTACCGTCGGAGCTCTCCCTGACTGTCCGCTTCTTTGTCAGGCTGAGTTCTGATTAGTCCTGTCTAAAGGTCCCTATTTATAAGTCCCTGAATTAGTCGCTGTGTCACTAGAGTTCCCCCCATGTGGCGTTAATCTTTAGCTACATCTTTGGCACTAGAATCTCTTCTAACGCCTTCCGTCGTTTAAATGGACATTAACTGATCACTGGACTCACATAATAGCCTCGACACGATGTTATCTGCCAAGCTACAACAATTGGTCGGTTGGTCAGCTTCTGGCAGGTCCGGGCTGACACTAAAATCTGTTCCAACGCCCCCTGCCGTTTAACTAGCCATTACCCAACCACAAGAAGCATTCGCAATAGCGTCGTCACGGTTTTATAGCTACACCCGCTGGTCAGTTTGTCGGTTATCCCACTGTGAGATTCCCCCACCCCTGTCCCACACAGGTTTGAACTCTTCACAAAATCTAATTATTTGAAATAATGTACCAGCAACATAGCAGAAGGAGAGAGGTGCAGTAGCCTCCCTAATATAAAAATTATTTGCTTTTTTTAAAAAGCCAAATGCACATAAATTCAAATAATATTTTACAATTATAATATGAATAGTTGGGAATATGAAGAATTTTAAGTCAACTGATGCATGTGCTCAAATGCGAGTTTACCAGGGTACCTCAATTTGACAGCCTACTCACCTCCGTCTACTTTAAACCTACTGACAGCCTCCAGCTATTTTTACCCTAAATCCTGTATTCTCTTTTCACTATTACTTTGTTGTCTTTGCCAGTCTGAGGATGACTTTTGGGACAATGACTTGAGATGACCAACCCTTTTTGGTGTGGGTTCTACCCGGAGATAGTACTTTCATTAGCCCTTCAAAGGGTTAAAAATGTTACCCTTGCTGATGCCTTCAGGTCACATCCTAATGAGAATGACAACAGGACCAAACTTATTCTTACATATTATCTTCACAATCTAATAGCCAAATGTGTTTTCCTTAAAAATGGTGCCATTCTCCTCGCAGACCCTGGCGCCCTAGAGATTCTCTGTTTCTCCACCTCGCATTGTTTTCAGGCGTGATTGAAATCTGCGAGACCTCCTTGTGCGAATTTGCCTCAACGCTGCCCCTTACACTTTGGGACCAAGCCATGTGGTCACAGGCGTTGCTACACCTGCGCTTCCGCCATCCAGACTTAATATATTCCCTTCCCCTAAGGGCTGTTTTCAGATAAGGGACGGTTTCCTTTTTACTAGCTGCAACATTGCCTTTGCAATTGTTTACACCCGCTGCCAGATGCCGTATACAGGTGACACAGGGCGCCAATCCTCTGACATATGTGCTAAACACCTACGTAATATTATGCCAGATAAGTAGTGTTCTGTCTCTAAACACTTCAATAGAAACAACCAAGGGATCTGCAGATTTTACGGTAAGTGCTGTTGGGACCTGCACTTACACACCAAGCTTGGTGAATTAGGAAAACAAGCTGATCCAGACTTATGGGACCACATGACTTGAATGTTATGATCTCGTTCTCTTGTGAAACCTTTTCTCCACCCCCTCCTTGTTACAACAAATCACAGTGGTCAGTGGACTCTTTTCCTGCATTCTTTCTTTTTTGGCTGTATTTAATCTCATCTACTCATTTTCTGTCACATTCCACTTGCTGTCCTCTCGGATACTCTCGGAAAAGCAATTTATATTTGTTTGATAATTAAATAATGAAAATTTTGAAAATCCTGGTTTTAGTAAATCCAATCCCAGTATTTTGAAGCATTAGTTTTAGTCTTGTATCTCGGTATTTTCCATAGTCAGGATTGCGGTTTGCGACCCTTAATTAAAACTAATAATCGTTTAATCTCTTCAGAGAAATGCTCAAGGGTTTCAGATTGCAAGGCTCTACACAGAGGTGAAGGATTATAGCTCTGCTAAAAAGTAAGATTTGTCTTACAAACCTTGATGCTAAATACATAACTAATTTGATAAAAAATATGTAGACATTTCCCTAAACTCAATGCCAATGTATTTTTTGTTATAAATATTCAACATTACATATTATTTATATTCCTTCTACAGATATCTAGCTGGGTTTCTCTCTGTCAGAGAAACTGTACCGCAGGCTCATCAGCTGATGGGAGAGATCAATGAGGCTCTCGACAAAAAGGAAGAGGCAATTGAAAATTATAAAAAGTATATTTATTTCTGATTTTATAATCTATTGTAAAGTGATCGTTCTATTTCTTAACAACATAACAAGATTTTAACGTACAAATTTTATATGCACTGAATAATACACAATTTTTTTTTCAGAGCTCTTGATCTTGGTGGCTTTGGAGCTTCAAATAGATTGCTTGTTAAAAAGAGTAGGTATTTATTGCATAAAGATAAAATTACTTTAATGACTCTGTGACTGATTGCCCAACCCATAAGTTACAACCCAAGAGTTTTCTTGGGGTTCCCCAGGTGAAATAATAAACTCAAATAATAATGATTTAATATCTGTTTCTATTTTTAATTGTTGTCATAAAGTTGGAATAGTATAATGCTCCTATTTGCATCTACACATCTCTGCCCCAAGTTAAAATAATATTCAATAACATACTGCAGAAATCTATTTTTGATGAGTTTCATTTGAACTTATTAAAAATACTTTAAAAAAAAAAAAAAAAAAAACTATGTTATGGTCATTGGTCACTTCACTTCAGTTAAATAAATAATATTAAATAACATACTGCAGAAATCTATTTTTGATGAGTTTCATTTTAACTTATTAAAAATACTTTAAAAAAAAAAAAAAAAACTATGTTATGGTCATTGGTCACTTCACTTCAGTTAAATAGGGTCTCAACTCAAAAAGGTTTGGGAACTTATGCTTTAGTGCAGCTTATAAATTTTAAGAATAAAGTAAAGCCTTTGTTTGAAAATTGTGACCCCTTTTTTCTTGTGGGACTTGGTTTTATAGCAGGTAGTTTTCACTTTGTTGATTTATTTCAGGGGCACTAAACCTTTTTGCAACGCCCCCTCTTGATTTAAAATATTTCCTGCAACTTGATTTGAAAACATGTTTCCTGTAACCCCACAGGATAATAAAAGCTTGATTTTTCTGGGTCTCCTACCATCCCCTGATAGTGCCCCCCTGCATTTACGCCCCATTAAGAACCTCTGATTCATTGTTTGATACAGTTTAATATTTTTTGGGTACCATTTGCCCCTCTTTATTTCAGTTTGTGAACTATACTGTGACCTTGGCACAGACGTGCAAAGAATGAAGGTGGGTATTTCTGTTCAAGTGCACATAATCAGTGACAAAGCTAATGTGTCCATTTGCTATTATGTTAATTGTACAAATGAATTATCTTGTGACGTTCTTATTTTTAGTCTCCACTCATTTTTTATTATAGGTAACTTCTTTATCTCTTCTCTATAGTTCTGGCTTGAAAAGTGTGAGACTTTATTTCCTAAAAGTGACATAGTTTACAGGCTGAAGGTAAGTTGATTTGATTCTTATGAATAACAATGCTGCTGTATTTAGAAAAACTACTTTTCTGATTTTTCAAAACATTAATTTCTACATTACTAAGAAATAGTACAATTTTTAAAATTTTGAACTGGACTCCAGAAAAATAAATGGTGTGATATGAAAACAAGATGGAGCCTTGATGGCACAGATTCTATTCCTATTTAACTTATTTGTTTCTTTGCAGTCTTTTAATCACAGCAGACTTTTTTCTATTAGATATTACATTTGGAAAGAACTTGAATAGACTCTTAAAATATTATATGTTGGCCAGGAATACAGAAATTGAGTCTGTTTCAGCTTACACGGTTTGAGTAAAAACTCTCATTTTCTGTTTTTTTTCTCAGGAACGAATAGCTGGAACTGTCAATGGTCATGAAGATGATAATAGCAAAGAAATGGAAAATCTTGTTGTATCTGAACTAGTGAGTCATAGTTATGTGTTTTATATTTTATTTTTGTTTGTTCAGTGCACGAGGCTAATGATTGTATTAAATTTTAACAAATGTTGCCATAGTGGAGCTTAATCAATATACACCATCATCAATATACACGATCACGTTGCTTAATTCTTTAAGATCAATCAACCAACAAACATAACACTGCGCATCAAGCTGCTGAACATGTACATGCAGTCTGGTAAACTAGAGGAGGCTTATGAAGCTGCAGTTGCCACAGACCTCACAACTGCCTTTGTGGAACATCTTCAGTGGTTTGAAACTCTGGAAACCATCTTCAAAGTAAGAGAACATATTAGTTTAACAGACCTGTTTACCCTCAAACTCTTAAAATCGTACAATATCATCACAAAATCGTTCAATACATTATCTTAATAGTAAAAAATAAACATACAGTATATATTGTGTATATACCTCAAAATCGTACATTGTACGCCAAAATCGTGAGAGTAAACAGGTCTGGTTTAATAAACTATGAAATAGTACTTGACTCTTGTTATTCGCAAAATATTTTGTGTATGCATAATTATTTTAAAAAAAATATTTTTAATAATCGACATGTGTATCCAGGAATACATAAAGAAATTCCCTGACTCTGAATCAGACTCCATGTACAACCAACATTTGTTACACATCCTGAGAAATGTGACCTTTCTCAGTATGGGGAGTAAAGAGATTGTGGAATGTTCCCAAGCTCTGGCCAGGTAAAGTGACTGTTGAGAAATAAAATATCAATTTTTTTCACTTTCGTTAACCTTCATTAGTAGCATTATTATTATTGTTAAATTTGTCATGAAATTACCCGTCTTATGCATAATTTTAAATAATAGTAGCATTGTGTCATATATAAAGTATGCACCAAAAGTACTGAAACTCCAGTATCTTGAATTTTTATAGTATATGCATTGGTCAGTGATGCATAGCTCCAGTGGCCACATGTTCCAAGAAGTGAGAAAGATGTTATTTTTGGCCGTTTTTGTTGCAAATGGATCTCTTGATGGAGAAAAATATAGTCATAATTCATTTTCTCTCGTAACAAAGTGATAAACCGATTATAAAGGTGGTTCGTGTCTGAATAAAGGTGGTAGATCAATTCCAAAAGAGATTTAAAAAGACGGCACCAAGAAATGCAGATATATTTTCTTTTGTTGCAAAAATACCATAATGGAAGTGCACTGTGTCATTTAATATAGGAGGAAATCTGATCGACCAGTATGTTTCTCGATAATAAGAAGCAAGTTCGTGTTCTCTGGAAGGTGCTGTATTCATCCTTTGAAATGAACATCAGTCATATGTCCATTTTTATTTAAGGACATAGATGCATTTGTTCCAGATACCGGTTGGACAGTGCTTGGCGAAGCCATATATGTGACCCAGGATGATGTTTGTTGAAATGAGGAATGAGTGTTTCTCAGACAGGTTGATCAGACTTTGCCATTTGTTGACAGAAAACCTTCCCGGAACCTTTACTTTGGGCCCTTTAAAAATAATAAATCAATCTCTCTTGGCTTTCTTCTTATGCCTTTTTTAAAAACACAGTCACCACTTACTGTCGCTAACATTTGAGAGAAATTATTGCTCATCAATGAATTTTTTTTCCTATTTCTAATAAAAACTGCCCAACATATAATCCTTTTCACTTCTGTGGTCACGTGGCACGTGGAACTATGCATTTTTGGCAAACACTAGTACGAATTCAAGGTGCAGGACTTTAAGTACTGCTAGAATTGCTGTATGCTGTATTATTCAACTGTAAACAACTGTATAAGCTTAATCTGATTTTAATTTTATAGATTTGACAAACAGTTAAAATTTGTATATACTTTGCCCAACAACGATGAGACGTGGACAGTCTTTGTAAGAGAGATGAAGGGTCAGATGTTCTTCCTTGCTGGTTTGTTGCTGTTAAAAAGAGCTAAGGCTGTGAGTTAAATTTATAACTATTTTGCAGCTATGCAATGGTATTCATAATTGCAAATCAATTAATATTTCATTATTAAATCTGATGCAAAATAATAATTTAATGTGTCAACTGAATCTCCCATACCAGGGCTCCATACAGTGGCAAGAGGTCAACCATCTGGCTGGGTCTTGTTTTCTAGCCAGTCGTAGTGTGGACCCTCTAGATGCTCAGGCTCCATGGTTTGTGACTGCACCGCATGATCACAGCAAATTCTATAACTGGTGGTACCTTCAGAGTTATGACAGGCTTTCACAAGTTGGTAGGTTAAAAATAAATAACTGAGTTTGTTTTCGCATCTTTAATATAAACTGTGCTTATTATATCGTAGCAAAATGCTTGGTGCACACAAAAAAAAAGTCAATTGGTTATGAGTATGCCAGCGTTCATCCATCATTGCCTTTGTTCTGAAATGCGACATGAACGTTAAACATTACCATTCGCAGATATTATTCGTATACCCAATAGTTAATTTGTGATGCTGAATATCCTCCTGCATTTATCTTAACATATTAATAGTTTTACAAAGTACGTTTATATATTTATTGTTAATTCCTTCCTCCTCTTCCCCCCACCGCCACCACTTTTCTAACTGAACTACCTTTACACAAGTGTTTACGTGGAAACGGCTGAAAAATAGAAATGCAGATAATTATATTTCTCAGCCAATGTCCAACTTATGTTATTGTATTTTAGGTATGTTGAGATGTGGACTTGCTTATTTATTGTTTCCTTTCCGTTTGTAGGTCACATGCTGATACAGTTGTCACAAAGCGATCTTGTTGACTGGAGCCATACTGTCAGACAGCAGACGATGACAGCATCAGGCCATCAGAGAGTATTCAAGGCCCTTTATGCGCCAAGAGATATGAAAGAACAAGGTCAATCATCATTCTTTTACCAGGCCAGGGAGATGGTGGATGAATCAGGCCAGAAGGAGCCCCTTACAGAGCGACACATGCTTGAAATTGACAGAGGTGAGCTAAATTAAGGTTTCATTAGTTTGCTGTTTATATGAATAAAAATTTCATTTGAAATATATGGAGGTTCTCATCTAAAATTTTAAAAATATTTAAATTCTCATTTGTTTTGATTTAACTTAATATTGTTTTGAATGAATAAATCTTCCAGAGGCAAAGCTTTTAAAATTAAACAAATTCTAGTAGTATTACAAAATGTTTATTCATCTTATATTTATAATATTAAATTTTTGTTTGCTTAATTATATGTATGAATTAATGATACATTTTTAATTCCATCAGTGGCTTTTCAAGTTCACCTGAGCAATCTCTCCCACTTAGTGTGGCTGTGTCTTCAGAGATATTCACCAGACATGAGTGCACAACCAAACTGTGAGCTTTTAATTTTTGAAACATATTCAGTTATGAATTCATTTGCATGTGCGTTTATAAGCAAATTATTTTTTATTAACTATTTTTTAGAAGTTTCTACACCACAAATCTTGCTGAGAGTCATCTTATTAAGAATTATGTCAACCATTTTATTTCAGTATTTATAGTGGTTAATATTTTTTACGAAAAATTTCTTTTTCCAAAAAGCATATTAGAAAATATATATAAATATTTAAGGGTTTTGTATCATAACTTGTTTAATTACATTTCTTTACAGATCATTTCAACATCATGGAAAACATTCAATACAGCAATAAAAAGATGGAGGACACTGGTGCTGAGTCCTTGAGTCAACTGGATATATTGGTAAATATCGATACACCTTTTCTCTAAAGATTGTATAGCAAAAAGCAACTTGGTTGATCACTTTGCACTAAATTTAGTGTACAAATTTTTTCACATTCATAAAGCTCTATATAAAGAGATCTTGTACAATTTCTAGGTTTTCCTCTTGGCAACTGTTCGATGTGCAGCCAGCGCAATCACAGAAAATGTTTTCCTATATGATGACCGCACGGGTCGACCTACACTTTTACCAGTGTGCTTAAGTAAACCATTGTGCACTCCTGAACAAGGGGAGTGGTGGACAGCAGTTTACAAGTTCTGTACCAATTCTGTCAAGTAAGCTCAGCATCTACTAACAGTATTATTACTGAGGACTTCAACTTTTCAAGGGTCCTTAAGTTTTGATGGTTTTATTAAAAATGGAAATACAATGATTAATCCTGTTAAATTAATTTTCATTAATTGATCAACTATCCTCATATATATCAGAGTGTTCAATCCATTTATATTGACTTCTTAAGAGTATTTTTAAATTTCAGTTTAATTTATATGAAAAAAAATATTTAATTAAAACTAAATACCTCTTTTGATTACCGTCATATTTTTTGGTCAGTATCCCAATAATACATGAATATTTGTGTTAAATTTTAAAGTTTAAATGGTAAGATGACTTATTCTTGTCATCTTGTTAATTTAAATAATTTTTAGTAATGATAACTTCTGGCTTTTACATTTTTGTATGTCTAGGGATGACTTTTCAAAATTGAGGCGCATACTGATACGAGGCATAGAGACAGTGCGTTTGATTGGATCTCATGGTATGTCCATCCCCTTGACAGCTCACATAGCCCGGTCTCTGGATGCAAAGGTATGACATGAAGAAAAAAGGGACATTTAGCTAGATGAGGTATGCCCAAATTTTTGTAAAACAGTAGAGTTGTTTCTAAATTAGATTTCAGTCATATGAGTAGGACTAGTCAAAATAGATTCAACAATATATTTAAAAAATGTATTCTCTTAATCTAAATAATTTCTTTCCTGTTGATTCAGAACCAACCCATTTGCTCTTTTCTCTCTGAAAATAAATAACTTTCTTACATGGTCGCACACATAGAATGCTATGTTTTATTAAACTTTTCATAGGACATAATGTTTTATTCATCTTCTCGTTTCTTTTTTAAAATGTAATTTTAGGAGTGTTATTTAAAGATAAATTCCTTTTTCTTTTAGATAAAAAGTGTAAAAGAGGCTGAGTTTGGATGTCGGTGCTCAGCTGCAGAGTTGAATGCATTGGAAATCAGGGCAGCCTTTTACTGGGAGAAGACAAAACAAGCTCTGGAAAAACTTCAAAGGTACTGAAGTTGCTGTCTTTTGCATACTATTCTGAGGACACGTACTACTTTTCTAGAGTAATGTCTGAGTAAAAAATAAGTACATAAATTTATAAATGAAGTTCTTTTTACATTATTTTATTTTACCATCTATCTAATTTTTTTCCCCTCTAGGAATCAACACATTCCTATTTCTAAAAACCGACTCTTTAAAGAGGCCGGTGACCAAGAACTCCCACCTCGCCTGATTGACAAGTTTACAGCTGAGACCACATTTGCTCTGTCTCTAGTTGCCATGAACAGAGGCCAGTATGAGGCAGCCCTAGAAGGCTTTCACAATCACAGGTCACCATGGGCTAAATACCATTCTGCTCAGGTTGGTTTTAGAGGATCTCTCTTTAACCCTTTACAGTCCAAGCCTATTCAGCCTTGTCTACTCCCAGCACCCAAGCAAAGGGACATAACTCCATTTTGAATGAAGGTTCTTTATCTAATTAATTTACAGAAAATAAACTAGAAGCAAGAAAATAAAATAAAAAATACCTAAATACAAAGAAATGATTAAAGCAAAAGTTACACCTAAAAATAGTTTCAGAGACCCTCCCACTCATGAAATAGTGAAGCTTCATTAGGCCTAAGTTCTTTCAAAAGTGTATCCAAGGCTTAGATAGCTATTTTTTACAGCGAAAAAATCGCGACTTTTATAAAAATCATAGAAAATCAGCCCCTAAACACACAGCGGTCAAACTAGTATCAAAATAAATGCCGACAACGAGGCTTTCATCTGGTTGAATTATAAATAGTAATGCGCAATGGATTTCCGCTGTGCTAAGAACGAAAGTAAACAACCTCGAAACGGGCGGGTTTGGCCGCAACGGACTGTAGGCTTAAGGAAAAAATCGGCGTATTTCGGGCGCATCGGACTGTAAAGGGTTAATTTTGCTGGCATAGAATAATCTAAAGAATGAATTTATGAAACTTTATGCTTTAGTCTTGCATTTTTGTTGATTTTTTAAATAAAATAACTCATTTAATTTTACATTTTGCATTTTGTAATGTTAATATAAAGGATTGTTAAATTTTTGCCTTAAAATGTTTAAGCAGTCATATAAACCTTGTTGAGATAAGTTGCAATTGCCATCTTTTATTATTTGACTTTGTTTTTCCATCGATTTAGATCTACAAAATACTTGCAGAGCAGGAGAACAATGTGTTCTCATCAGATGAAACTAGCACAAAGAAACAGGCACTGCTTCTAAAGGCTAGGGACTGTCTTTATGATGTCTTAGACCGCCTCAGTGGAGACAAGTCTCATGTGAGTTGAGGTTTACAAAATTTTTCTCAAGAAGAGGTTTTGTAGACATTGGTTGTTAGGAAATAGTTTTTTTCCTTATTTCTTAGCGGGGACAAAATGTTTTTTAAATTAAATTTTAAAATGGCTAGTAGTATTTGTACACAGTTAAAACAGTTGGAAAAAGGGATATAAATTTAAAACAAATGTGCTGTATTTTTGGGCGTACAAGACGCTCCCCTAATTTTCCTGTTATAGGGTTTGGGCTATACTCGCCGTATAAGACTATTCCTCTTCCAACGCACACCAAATAAAAATTAAAAAAACATCAGAAAGGAAGGATAATACAATAAACCCATGGGAGCTGCTTTGTTTTCTAAGCTTTTAACCAAACTGGAACTAGAGGGGGCCTGTCCCTGAATTTTTCGCACACTGATTTCTCGCTTATAAGACGACCCAAGATTTTCATGGGTTAAAAAGTTGTTTTATACGCCGGGAAATAAAGTATATATTTTGCAAGAGATAACTCGGCTAAAAGTGTTCTTTAAAAAATTTGATTGATAATGTTTATTCTATTTATTTTTCCAATCAGAAACTAAATGCTCTGGTAGCAAGGGACTTGGAGGACATTGACACTCAGTTGCAGGCATTAGAGTATGGTAAGAGTCACTTACACTTTATAAGATCTGACTCTTCAAGTGCTCTGTAAATCAGTTGCTTACGACCATCTATAAAATTGTTAAGGACTATTCGCAAACTTAGGATTAGCTGAAAGTCTTAAATAACTAATGGTTAATTCAGCTAATGTAAATTTCAGCTCCTTTTTTTTTGAGTAATCGTGACAAATATAAATTTTCTTTCTGATCAGCAGATGATAAAGATGGCAGCACCAATAGCTCTTTCCACACCCCATCAAAATTTCCCCCAGACATCCGACCAAGCTCAAACACCAATGGTATGGTCCACAGCACCCCCAGGAACCCCATAGCAACATCAGCATTTCCCGATCATGATACGGGGCATACAAGGGTCAGTCATTTAATTTGTACTGTTTTTTTTTTTTTTTTTTTTTTAAGAGTGCACTCTATGACCTTAATAACATTTTAGTTATCCTATGACCTTACATTTACACAGTGACATCTCATTCACCATGTTGCAGTGGCACGGTCAACAAATTTTTTCCTAAAATATTCAATTGGAATCCCCTTTTCAAGGTGCTGTGGGAACGTAGCACAGGGAAAACCTCATATTTTTATTTCTTTATTGATATTGCAAAAAAAATGTATTAGGTTGTTTGGATGAAGGCTTAAATTTAATTAGGAATGTCTTATTCCAATTTTTTACGTAGTTACAGTAACACTTCACAAAGGGACTTGACATCACTGGTATCTTGTGGGTGCCTACTATTACGATTGTGAAAATTCTTTTAGTCCGCACCAGAACCTATTGTACCTCAGTGTAATGAGATGAAAAGCTATTTTAATTTTATCAATGTTTTTTTTTTTTTTTCCAGCTGAATACCACTGAGCCAATCCGTGCCACGAGGGATCACAATGTTTCTTCTACTAGTGAAAACGCTGACAGACCCAGGCCATCGCCTGAACGTCTTGACTCCCAGATCAGGTCTCTGAGCTACAGCCAGACATCACTTTTTAAAGTGGTGTTGGACAGGAATGAAGAGCTGATCATAATTAATGGAAAGATGATGGAAGAGCTGCGAGACAACAACATCCAGCTGAGAACCGTGCTGTCTGAGAACAAATCTCTCATGGATGAGCTGAAGGTGGGTGATATTGGCCAGTCAACTGAAACATATGCCAGGGGTGTCCAAATTGTGTCGGCAGAGAACCAGAACAATTATTGTGAACTCTTTCTTGGGCTGCAGGTGCTAAATCATGTATTTGTTATTCTTAATAATTTTTCTTAACTTAGTCCACCTCCTATTATTTTTCCATACTCGTGCGGTAAAATGAAGACAGTCAATGTTTTATAATGAATATATTTGTTGCATGGAATGAAACATGAATAAAGAAACAAACAAAAACTACATGCAAAGAAACTGAATAAGAGTCTAACGCTAATCTAAACTAACTAGTGTAAACCTCACAGTAATACTAAAGAAATACTAGTAATAATCCAGGTTCTTGGAGTTATGAATATGAATGGGAAACATCTATACTGGTTGTAAAGCACTTGAATGTGCATACCATGTCTGCTAGCATCTATTCATCTCTGGATATCTTTCTACTTCGTTGGAGAATACAACCAGAAGATATACTGGTTGATTTAGCTTAGCCTGATGCAGTTCTGGGTCAGTTTCTGATGCTGTAAACAAGCTTTCAAGTTCAAGCTAGCTTAGGATGCTAGTCGGCTACCTTGGTGTGGCTTGCATTGAGTCATAACACAGCCTTGATGGTTGTGGCATATACTGGGAGTTTATCACGTGACTGGCCAGTGATCTGCTGGTTTTGAGTTCAGTGCTAGGGTGGTTTTGGAGAGGTGGGGAGAGAGAAAGCTATTCTTAGCAGTTGGCTATACACTTAATATGCATTATTTAGGGGAGTGTGAACTATACCTAGCAGCTTGGTATACATTCATAGACACTGTTCTGGATTGTGAGCTATACTTAACAGCTTGCTATACATGTCATGGGCATTATTTAAGAGGGTGTGAGCTATACCTAGCAACTTGCTATACATATCATAGGCATTATTTAGGGGGGATAAATAAACCCAACTGTAATGAGACATAACATTACAATAATATTTACACATGGTCTATTTACTTATTACACATTTTATTTGTTGATTTGACTAGGCAGTGCTTCTTACCATTATACTCTGAATTGAAATAAAGACAAAGATCATTAGGTTGAAAAATAAATAAATGTTTATTTTAATTTTTTGAAATAATAATATTGGAAGATATATTTATTTATAAGTCTGCACCTAATTAAAATATTCTAAATTATCATGTTGTAGCTACTTATCGCCACTGAATTTTTATAAAATTTTTAAGTGGAATATTTCTTTTAAAGGGGCAATATTGTTTAAATCAATTATCATTTGACAACTGTCACACAATTAATTATTAGTTAAAGTTTTGTTGATCAGTAGATTATGTTGGATTTTAAAAAAAAATATTAAAAAATCATAATTTGTTTTTTCTCCTTTAGGTGTCCTTGACAGAAAATAAGGAAATGATGAAACAAATCAAGGTATTAGATTTTCTAAATTTGTTAAAACTAATCTTAAATTAAAATAAATTTCAATTTTTAACTGGTTGCGGAAACTGGTGTATTTAAATCCAATAAAATTATTATTTGATAATAAATGTACCACGTTTTAATTTTTAAAAAATCTAAACAAGCATGAATTTATTTTTGTTTCAGAATGAACTTGGTACCCTAAAGACTAACATCCTCACGGCACCACCTCCAATCCAAACTGCACCTCTCTTTATGCCACAAATGCCAGCTTCTGCTCCACCTCGTGGGCCATTCCCCGGCTTCCCTCCCCCTGCCTACGGTGGCTACATGATAAACTCTCCTGTGCCACCCCAACCTCCTCTTGGTGCCGGGCCGCAGTATCGCCCCTCTGGACTTCCTGGTTCAAGGTCATCCAATGTAGGGAAGTATCGGCCACAGTCGGAAGAAGACGAGGAGGAGGAAGATGACATGAGTAATATTGAAAGAGAGTATTTTGAAAATGAACAGTCTTACACCCAATATTACACACCTGAATCGCAGATTATTCAGGTAATATCTATTGACATGATTTGATGGTTTTAATATGCAAGTACTGTGGAGAATTTATGAGTGCCCAGAATATGCCTGTTTAATCATTAAAACAGGCAGCTTGTCAAATCTGAACTTTCCAAATTTAAGATATTTTATAAAAAAAATCATTCTAAAATTGAGTTTCAGGAAAAGATTGAATTATGGGCCATTTATGATAAAAAAAAAAAATCTGTTCAATTTTTTTTTAATTATCAGGATTGCCATCCAGGTCAGCATGCACTTGTTTCTCATCATTTTGGTGTGTCATCACAAAAATACTTTAAGACATTAAGATTGAAAGTGTTCATTTAATACATTGTTTGACTCATTGCAGTGTTCCCAAGATTGGGCAGTTGGAGGTAGATCAGGTATGGAGGGTCAGCCACCTATTCCCATACCTCCTCTCCAGCCTAGGATGAGCATTCCAGCTCCTGGTTACTTCGCATCTGCACTCAGAGGACAGTCTCTGCAATATGCACAGAATGTACAAACACCTGGACAGGTGAGTTATACAAGTAGCCTTTTAGAAATTATAATTCAAGAAATAGATCTGCTGGCATCCGTCCGTCACAATGTGACGATGGTGTAGACTTCGCAAGGATGAAATCCACAAGGCTTGGGATTCTTTTTAGGATTATAAGGCTGGTTCCCTACACAGCAAATGCCTCTCTCCATGCCTCTCTCCATGCCTCTGGATAACCTAAAGGAACATCGTGTCCATGATGCAGCTTGGCACCAGTTTTCAGATTGTTAAAAAAAAAAAATTATTTTAAAGTTGTTAGGTCTATAGAGTCTCCTGTAAAATTTGGAAAACCTGTGGTTAGAGGGTTTCAGCAATTTTTATATATATGAAAGTATTTTAAGAAGGGGACTGTTTCCTTCATCTTACTGGCCGAGGGGTTCATGGAGAGAAAAAAAATGTGAAGAACCCCTGGTTTAGATCAATAGATTACATACCTAGACGTTATGAAAACAAGAAATACATTTACCGCCATTTGCAAATTGAATAGCTAATGTGTAAGCAGACCTCATTAACATTGAATAGCTAATGTGTAAGCAGGCCTCATTAACATTGAATAGCTAATGTTTAAGCAGACTTTTGTCTCATATTCTGTTTGTGACCACCTCTTATGTCAACCATTTTCATTTGTTGACTGAATAACCTATTAACAATCTTAACTAGATCAAGCCAGCTTCTGGACTAGGTTTCTTTGCATCTCCTGCTGTAGGTGGAACTGTCACACCTGTGGTACCGGCGACAGTTGCGGTCAGTATGCAGAATTCTTAAATATGGAATATTATTGTTAGTGGATGCTTCTTGCACCAGAATAGAAGTGGATCAAAAAAAGTTTAATAAATATTTCTGGCAAATCTTCATTAGTTATTTAAGCTCTTTACTTGAGATTGTATTAGCTTCTTACAAAAGTTAGCCAAAAATTTGTTGTTTTTTTTTGCTATCACAAAGTACTATTATTGTTCCTAGAGCTTAACTGGTTGCAGTTTTATTTACACAGATATTTTGAAACAGTTGGTCCAAGTGTTATAAAAAAAAAAGATTTAACTTCTTATTTTCTATAATATATGCTGGCATTTAAACAACAGTCCCATAGACAGTCCTACACCATACCCATGGCTCATTATTGATTGATATAATAGTCACCTCCCCCTAACTAAAGAAACTTCAACCTTTTTTACACAATGCTCGCTGCGTGACAGCTTTTATTTTTCACTCAATGCTATTAATATAAAACATGTTGAGTAGGGGGGAGGGCCGGTTGTGAAAAGGAAACAGGACACACCAGAAGCAATATATATATATGAGATAATTATTTTAGTGAGCCATACATACATTTGACTTAAAAATATTTTAAATAAAATAAATGTAGCAAAAATCACAGTAAAATCAACATTTTAGTGGCAGAAAAGAAGACTTTTATCATTCCAGTGTAATAATTAAAATCAATTGATTGTTGTACAGATGACCCCAGTAGCAGTTTCAACTGGCAGGGTTCCTGACAGCACTTCATCCCCTGCATTACTGGCTGCCCTGACTGGTCTGAAGTCCTCCATCACTACAGGTAATGGTTATAAAGTAAAGAGTCAGTTTTTGTTTTTTAAAAATCTATATTCAACTTACTATTTTAAATAAGAAACTGCCTACTACTTTTTATACTCTGCCCCCGTTCCGACAATAATCCATAAGTTTCCTTTATGAAAATGTACTGTTATTCGTCTTCACAATTCTCAGCTTGAGTAGTAGGTGTGACTTGAGCTGTATTTTGTTTAAAGTGTGGGAGAGTTGCTCTATTCGTCAGCCACCATCTCTCGTTCTTGCCTATTAGTCAAGACGACTGGAAATAGAACAGAACAGACCGGGTGTTTTTCTTGTGTTTTTCAATTTGCTATTTATGCATTCTACGTCGCAGGAGTTGTCAGAATTTTCATTGTGTCAATGTCATGCCTTATATAGGACCCCATCTCTGGGTTTAATTTCAGAGTTTGCCTTCTCTTAGATGAGTTGCCATCCAAGGTTAACGCGTCCCATCCACCAGGGGGTGCTGGTTTTAGTTTTTTGTTTGTCTAGGCGTTTTCTGGGGATTGTACTCGGCCTGGGAGGGAGTGACATGGAAATGTCAGCTTTGTCTGTCTCTCTACTTGTAATTTTCTTTGTACACAGGCACACCAAAGATTGATCCTGCTCCACCGGCAACATCGCCAGCTGTTGGAAGTCTTGGAGCTGTTCTCAGTGGTGAGTCAAGTCAGTAAACCTTTTATTTTTCTCTTACCTTGTTGTAAATTGTCTTCCCTTATGTTTTAGTTTAAACCAGGGCAAGTTGTCTCATTCTGTAAGGACTCCTCACGAGATTATTTAAGTTAAATGTTATTACTCTGTTTTCGCAGTAAGTTTTCTTAGAAACTAAAATGGTTTAAAATGTTATTTATTAATCTTGATGAACCTAAAGTTTTAACACAAGTTTTTTTTTGTGTCTTTTCACTTTTGAATCCCAAAATGTATTTACCTAAATTTTTTTAGCTGGCATTACATTACATCAAGTAAAGTTTATTATTTGATTTGTTTGTTAGGAATCAAGAGTTTATTCCAAGCTAAAGCTGTAATGGAGCCCAAGAAGGCTAAAGGAGACATCACAGTAAGTGTTTAACTTTATATATTCTTAGAGCTCCATCACCTATGAGAAAGATGGTTTGAAGAGTTAGCCTGAGTCTAGATTGATTGTGGAATAATAAAATACTTTAATTTTTATGTTGCACAGTCAGAGCTAAAATATGCTCTCTGTAACATAATATTTTAACAAAATTAAGCCCCTTTAGTGAAATCTTTTGATCTGTATGTGATAGTTTAAACAATTGTTTTATTTCTGTAAAGATTCTTGTTGATACCCACAACAACCGAGCCACTATTTTGATGATGGGTGAAACCAAGGAGATACTTTTCCATCATGACATAAATGCCTTGAAAGTGGAGCCCTCTTTTTTGGCATCAACCGTCATCTGGACAGGAACCAAAGTCGGCTCAGTGGACCGTGAAAAGATAACTGTGAATCTGGATTCATCGAGCCTGGCGGCACAACTTAAAGAAGTAAGTTCACTTTACCACGTGATTTATTGCCCTCCAACAACAGCATCATGTCTTTGGAGTCTCATAATTGGTACAGTTATTCAGCCTAAGTTGGATTTCAAAACATGGCTTTAGAGAGAAAATTTTGTAAAGTTATTCTTCATTGGAACCTTGATAGATAACAACAGAAATAGAGGTTTGAATTTTGTTAAATATTTGTAAAAAGAAGTCATTGTTGATTGGTTTAGTTTATAAACTGGGAATGCCAAAAAAATCATGTCAATACTGTAAATACTTGCATTTATCTCTATGTAAAATTTGAATATTTGTATTTTTTAATGTATTTTTTCCCCCTCAGGCAATCCAGAAAGCTACAGCTTTGATACAAATAAAAGTATCTACTCCACAAGGTAATGTAAATCAGTATTTTATTTGCCTTTTAAATACAATGTGTGGAATCTATCGTGTACAGTTCTGGGTGGGAAGCCACGATCAACTCAAGTTTTAAAAAAAAAGTTAACTATTACCTAATATTTTATCGTGGAATAATCGGTGAGGTAGAAGTATAATTTTATCAAGATGTCCAAAGAACCACTGTCAGATCCATGGAAGCATATTATATGAAAAATGAGCATTTTTCATCTGCCATTGTAGAGCTACCTAAGCCTAGCTTTCCTTTTTAATCTAATGTGAATTTTTTTTTCTCCATTTTTTTCTTAACAGCCACAACAGCAGCTAGTATTTTCAGCACCACGCCAGCACCTGTAACTGTTAGCAGTCAGGCCGGAAACCAGGAAGCAGCTAAACCTGTTTTTGGGGGCTTCACGTTCAGCACCACTCCAACAATAACTCCGGTGGTTGATAAGCCAAAAGTGGATGCCCCTGTCACAACATCAGGTAGAGAAAGAAATGCATTGGGCTTGAGTTATAGAAAAACTAAATTTTACTTTAGATTTCATTTTGTACTCTATTCTGTTTTTTTTTTTTTTTTTTTTTTTTTTTTTTTTGTTTTTTTTTTTTTTTTTTTTTTTTTTTTTTTTTACTTGGCCTGGCAATATTGAATTTTATAAATGTGGAAAAAATTTCACTCAACGCTATTAGTGAAAAACATGTTGAGAAGGGGGAGGGCTGGTTGGGAAAAGGAAGCAGGACTCACCAGAAGCAAAATATCTATAAGAGATAATTATTTTAGTAAACCATAAATGCATTTGCCTTAAAAATAGTTTTAAATAAAATAAATGTGTGGCAAATGTACAACTTGTATATTTCCCTAGTAGCAAAAGATGACAAACCTAAACCGTTTGCTGGATTTTCCCTGACAACATCATCCAAGCCAGATGTTAAGTTCTCCTTGGATGCCACAGCAGATACACCCAAGCCAGGTATGTCATTTATCGGTCAAAAATTTTTGTTCCTCAATTCTTTTTTAAACACTCCCCCCATAATTGTGTAAAAGGATGAATATATAAGGGACAAGCCGTTTGAAGTAAATAAATGGTGGGAACAAGATATGATTAGGCTTGAAAATGAAGGCGAGACAAATTGTCTTGTCTTTGTATTGTCTTTTATTTTGAAGTCAAAACATATCTTTTTCCACTATCTATTTAATAATTATGTCCTGTGAACAATAACAGGCTGACTCTTAATCAGAGCAAACCAGGGCTTAATCACACTATTCTTTTTAGGGATGTTAAAGATTCAGTATAATCCTTTTATCAGTCATTTTTCAAATTTATCAATCATGGCTTTTTTGTGTTGCTCTCGAAGATATTACACAGTTTAATAAAATATTGGATATTTTATGGAATGCCATACATTGAAATAAAATTACAGACCAAAACCAAACTAAATGAAATGATATGTCACATTAAAAAATGGCGTCAGCGGGCCGTGGAGCTTATAGCTTTTTATGTCCTCCCCAAAGCGCACACCCCCCCAAGCCCTAGTGAAATGATATAAATATTTTGATTATCTTTTAACATCCTAAAATTTAGTTATAATAAAACTTCTGAATTTAATTGTAGCCAAAGCTCCAACATCATTTACCAAGCCAACACCTGGAGCTGGACCAAAGAGTCCTGGTGTTGTGGCCAAGAGTCCTGGAGGTGGAGATGATGATCATGTGGAGGAGTATGAGCCAAACATAGATTTCAAGCCAGTCATTGCACTGCCCGAGCTGGTGGATAAAAAAACTGGAGAAGAAAATGAAACTGAGGCAAGTTAACAGTATTAAAACCTTGTTTTGCTCTCAGCTACTCTTTTTCTGCAATGTGAAGAGATTACGAAATTAATGTATGTTTCTCTCTCTTACGTATAAAATGATTTTGAATAAATATGTTTCAATAGATCTTTGTAGAGAGGTGTCGTCTTTTCCGCTTTGACCCCGAGATCAAGCAATGGAAAGAAAGAGGAGTTGGGGAAATGAAGATACTCAAGAGTAAAGATCAAGTTAAATTCAGGATTATAATGAGAAGAGACCAGGTATATATAGTGTTGTTTATGTAGCACCTAGAGACCAGGTAGATATAGTGTGGTTTATGTAGCACTAAGAGACCAGGTAGATTTAGTGTGGTTTATGTAGCACCTAGAGACCAGGTAGATATAGTGTGGTTTATGTAGCACTAAGAGACCAGGTAGATTTAGTGTGGTTTATGTAGCACCTAGAGACCAGGTAGATATAGTGTGGTTTATGTAGCACTAAGAGACCAGGTAGATATAGTGTTGTTTATGTAGCACCTAGAGACCAGGTAGATCTAGTGTGGTTTATGTAGCACTAAGAGACCAGGTAGATATAGTGTTGTTTATGTAGCACCTAGAGACCAGGTAGATGTAGTGTGGTTTATGTAGCACTAAGAGACCAGGTAGATGTAGTGTTGTTTATGTAGCACTAAGAGACCAGGTAGATGTAGTGTTGTTTATGTAGCACCTAGAGACCAGGTAGATGTAGTGTTGTTTATGTAGCACTAAGAGACCAGGTAGATGTAGTGTTGTTTATGTAGCACCTAGAGACCAGGTAGATATAGTGTGGTTTATGTAGCACTAAGAGACCAGGTAGATGTAGTGTGGTTTATGTAGCACTAAGAGACCAGGTAGATGTAGTGTGGTTTATGTAGCACCTAGAGACCAGGTAGATGTAGTGTGGTTTATGTAGCACTAAGAGACCAGGTAGATGTAGTGTGGTTTATGTAGCACCTAGAGACCAGGTAGATGTAGTGTGGTTTATGTAGCACCAAGATGTTAAGATGATACCTTATGTTTTACTAACAATTGAAGTTTTTTGCTTCTCATTGTATTACAATTCAAAAGCCCCTAATTGAGTATTTAATAACGTGTAGGCTTTAAATTTGTGGTTGTTTAATTAACGTTACAAGTGCCTTAGTCTAAATAGTTTCACTTTGCTATTCTCGAAATGAAACCTGTTTACAAATCATCTTTTCATGAACTTCAATGTTCTCATTTTTTCTCTTAGATTTTCAAGCTTTGTGCCAACCACTTTCTCAATTCTGAAATGCGCCTGACTCCCATGGCCTCCTCTGACCGGGCCTGGTGTTACTCTGCAATGGACTTCTCTGAAGAAGAGATGAAGGCAGAACAGCTGGCCGTTAAATTTAAGACTGCGGAGAAGGCCTCATCTTTCCAGGTTGTCTTTGATGACTGCTGCAGACAGCTGAAAGAAGAAAAGAGCAAAGTTCATGACGGCGGGGAGACTGCCAAGGATAAAAGTATGTTGGGATCAATAGGACAGTCAAAGAAAACATAAAATTTTAGTTGAAAATTTGGGGCTTTGTGAAACTAGAATATGTGATTTGTTGAAGTAAATGTTACCAGTAACTAGTACACCTTAGAACAGTTATTAACTAGAACACCACCTTAGAACAGCTAGTAACTAGAACACCACCTTAGAATAGTTAGTAACTAGAACATTACCTTAGAACAGTTAATAACTAGTATACCTTAGACCTGTTAGTTACTAGTAAACCTTAGACCAGTCAGTTACTAGTATACCCTAGTAACTAGTACGCCTTAGACCAGTTTTCCCATACTTTTAAGTTGGGCAGATGTGTGGACAAGTTTCCACTGAATCTGGGACAAATTTATTATTTTTCTTTTATTAGACTTAAGTATATTGTAAAATTCTATAGGACTCTAATACTATATAGTGTTATTCAATAGTTTTGTGGTTATGTCTGTTTAAAATGTAATATTAGTTTAACAATGTGATAACTTTTAAAATAGTTGACCGCTGCATTTTGGTAAAGTTATTTTGTAATTTTGAATACTTAATCATTAATACAGTTTATATTAATGTGCGGTCATTTTCTATTAAGATTTTATTCCTTTTCTTTTATAAACTAATCCTGAATATTTTATTACCTTATTGCATTTTATTAAAATTTTCTCCAGCCGATGCAGTTGTTAGCGGGTCAGAGAAACAATTCGTTAAAACTGAACCATCCACATCTGGTACTAAAAGCCTCAGTGAAATGTTTAAACCAAAAGCTGGCAGCTGGGAATGCCAAGGCTGTTACATCAGAAATAATGATGAGGTCCCGAAATGTCCAGCTTGTGGCACTCTCAAACCTGGTGGGAAGGTAGCACCGGCTGCCTCAGGACCACCTGCTGCCTCAGCACCATCAGCTACTACAAAATCTTTGAGTGAGATGTTCAAGCCCAAGGTTGGTAGCTGGGAATGTGACGGCTGTTTAGTCAGAAACAATGAAGACGTCATCAAGTGTCCGGCATGTGGGACCCTGAAACCTGGCGCCAAGGCTGAGGATGTTTCTAAAACTGTCACTGGTGGGGGCTCTTTTGTAGCAGGCGTTGCCGCTGGTCCCCCAGGTATAATGTTTTGAATAATAAATCAATTCTAAAATTGTTCCGACCAATATTTCTTTATGGCAATGGGGAAAATGTATTTACATGTGGTTAATTAATTTTGAAAAAATGATATAAATTTCTTTCAAACTTAATAGGCTGTATATTTTATCCTCAGGATCTGGCTTCAAATTTGGTGCAGCCTCCAATGTTATGCCCACAACGGGGGGATTCAGTTTTACATCTCCAGCAAGCACTGCTCCTCCGTCTTCAGGATTTAAGTTTGGCACTCCAGCAGCATCTGCGCAAACAACCAACACCACTACGGCACCCGCAATCGGTTTCAATTTTGGCACCCCTACAACATCTGGAAAAACAATTAATGCTGCCGCAGCCCCCACGGGAGGTTTCATTTTTGGAGCCCCGGCACAATCTGCACAAACGACCACCGCCAGTACTGCACCCACAGGAGGTTTCAAATTCGGCACCCCAACAACGTCTGCACAAACGACCACCACTAGTACAGCCCCCACAGGAGGTTTCAAATTTGGTGTTCCCACAACATCAGCCTTGACAACTACAGCAACAACCGCACCCACCGGAGGTTTCAAATTTGCAATCCCTGCCACTTCTGCTCCAACGGCTTCAAGCACTGCACCTGCTGCAGGGTTTGGTTTTAAAACTGCGACATCTGGTGTTGTTCAAAAAGCTGACTCTACTTCAGATGCTCTTATCAAACCATCTCTTGGGGCATTTTCTACCAGTGCCACAGCAGCAGCATCTTTTTCCTTCTTCCCTGCCACCACAGCCGGCAGCTCAAACATCTTTGGTACCCCAAAAACATCCACCACCCAGGGCTCCTCACTTGACAACACTCCCAAGCCTAACAGCTTCTTATTCACATCCACACCAATTCAAGGTAAAGATGCTGCTAAGCAAGCCGGCACGTCAGGGCTTCTAGCCAAACTGCTGACATCAGATGACTCATCTTCAGAGACCCCTGCAAAACCCCAAGGTGAAACAAATTATGTTTAAAAGATAATTTATGTTCCTAGTTCTTTTTTTTTCAACACACCATTTCTGCTTTTCCTTGCCGTGCGCTTACTTTGGTCGTGAGTGGTATGCTTTTTCTCTGAGGATTTAGCTCCAACAGTGAGTCGGCCATGTCATAATACAGGAGCCTTAGGAAGAGTCTCTCATGAATCAAGGTCAATGTCCATTGATTTGAGTAAAGCTTTTAAACAGTCCTTGAAGTGTTTTTTCTGTCCACCGGCTGAGCATTTCCCACTGGAGAGTTCACAGAAAAAAATTAGCTGTATGAGAAGTCTGCTGTCTGTCATTCTTGCAACATGCCTTGTCCATCTGGCTTGTACTTTTTGCAGCAGCGTGTGGATGCTGATACAATCGGCCTTGATACAAGTATTTGCTGCATTTTCAGTTCCGATCTTGTATTTATGGCACAGTCATCAGCAAATAAGAGATCTTGAATAACCCTTTCTTTAACTTTCCTAATGGATTGCAGTCTCATAATATTTTAGAGCCCTCCGTCTGTCCTTTATCTTATAGGAGTGCTGTCATTATTGTTGAGAATACCATCAATCAGCATTTCTGAGAATACCATGCTAAAAAGTGTTGGGGTTGGAGAATACAGAGTTGTTTTGCAGGAAAAGCCACAGACTCATTTCCATAATCCATTACCCTGGCTATCATCATAAATACTATCATGGAGTTGGCGTAGTATTGTAATAAATCTACTCAAGCAGCCAAACTCCTCCATCATATTCCACGGGCCATCTCTACCCACTGAGCCAAATGTTGTGTAAAACTCTGAAAACTTGTAAAAATCTATATCATTAGAATTGAAAACTGAATTTTTCTTTTCTTTTTTCTTCATGTCAGCTGGTTTCAATTTCACCATGTCAAATAAATCCAGTGCACCTTCCACTGACGTAACGGCAACCAGTACCACACCAGGGTTCCAGTTCTCATTTACCAAGTCACCTGTTAAAACTCAGCAGGGCCCAGCGGTCCCAAACTCACCTGAAGTTGATGAGCATGGAATGTATGTTAACAAGGAGGGCGATGACTCTCACATACACTTTGAGCCAGTTGTCGTCCTTCCTGACAAGGTTGAGGTAATTATTTATTTTATCTGAAAGAATAATTTTAGCAAATCCTGATCAGGGAACATCGTTTTACAATTTATTGGTACGCATCTGATCATTAAATTATTTCTTCTTAGGTAAAAACTGGCGAGGAAGAAGAAAACATTCTGTTTGAGGCACGTGGTAAGATGTACAGATTTGTGTCCGGTGAATGGAAGGAAAAAGGAGTTGGTGTTGTCAAGATACTGGAACACAAAGAGACTAAGAAGACCAGAGTCCTGATGAGAAGAGATCAGGTAAGCAGTCTTTCCATTCTGTCAGTTGCACAAATCCCCTGAGAAAGTTTGACACAAATCACCTGAGAAAGTTTGACACATAGCAAATAAGAAATAGTTTGATAGGAAGAAAAAATGTTAAGGTTTCTGGATAAATGGATGAGTGAATTACAAAGCAAGGAGACCCTTTTGCCCATTACCTACAAAGAATTGTCATATTTTGTCTAAGTTGTTTATCTTAAATGTTTTTATCTTTATGTAGTTTTACAACCAGGAACAACTTATATTAATAATATTATCAAGGACACGAAGCACTCAACGCTCCATAATCACTTACCCCAATTTTAAACCTCTCTGTTAAAAAAAATAATATTTGATCTCTTCTGATTGAGGCAGCAACAGGTTAATAGAAATAAAACCACTGTAATCTTAATTCAAATAGAAAACTGTAGCAGTAAATCTGGATGTGGTATTTCTTTGTCACTCTGACACAGGTTTTGAAGATCTGCTGTAACCATAAGATAGAGCCTGCCCTGAACTTACAGCCCATGGCTAAAAGTGAAGGGAAAGCCTGGGTGTGGTACGCACTCGATTTCACAGAAAGTGAAGGACGAATGGAACAACTTGCACTGCGGTAAGTGTCAATGAAGAGTTTGATTTTAAAAATGAGACAGGATTGTTGTCCGATATTTGAAATGCATTTCATGTGAGATCACTGAGTTCCACAAAATTCATCATGTCAAGCAGGATGTCACATTTAATGTTTTTGCCAGGGCACAATTTCAAAATGTTGGACTATCCATGTAGGTAATGAGCTTTGATCATGTCTATGTTCAGATGTACTTGTTAATTTCTACCACGACAAGAAGGGCAACTGTTAGTTTGATGTACTTGTTAATTTCTACCATGACAAGAAGGGCAACTGTTAGTTTGATGTACTTGTTAATTTCTACCACGACAAGAAGGGCAACTGTTAGTTTCAATATGGTCAAATGTTTTCAATGTATCCATGGGACATTGTTAATGACTTATTGTGGACCTCTATCTTTACTCTACATTTGCCACTACCCATAGGCATAAGACCTGTAACTTTTCATTTAAACTAACTTTTCAAAAATCTTTTATGCAGATTCAGAACAGTAGATATAGCCAATGAGTTCAAAAATGTTTTTGAGAAATGCCAAAGCAAATCCAGCCCAGCTAAGCCTGCTTCAGATGAGCACGTTCCTCAGAGACAAGTGAAAAAAGAACTGTTTGAAGGTATTTAGGCATTTATACACCCATGATAACTGAGCAACTGAAATGATTGTTACAAAGGCCTGTATCATTGGTTCTCAGTCTTTTTTCGGCCACTGCCCCTTTGAACCATAAACCCACGCAAGTTTCAGCTCAATAGGTTGACGTAAATTGGGTCACTTGGCCATCCAAAGATTTTCTTATGTGACAACAACCATCTAAACAGTGTTCAATATTTTGTTAAAATATGTTAATTATAATTGAAGATTGTATTCCTTATTTATTTTCCCCAGACCCCACTGTCCCCTTTGGGCGTCCCGGTACCACCTCTCCCGGGCCTTATTCAGAATCACTAGTCTATGTCACTGTTTGATTAATAGAGTGCTCATCCTTTGCTTGCATATTTTTTAATGGAAAGGAAGAGATGATGCCAATTAGAAATAATAGACAAAATCATATTGGTTTGTTGAATGAGAACAAATGACGTCAAGTAACCACATTACATTAAGACTTTCTAAGGTTCATTACAATAAAACTCCTCTGCTTTCTAGTTGTTTGTGGGGGCTCTACCACTATGACTGTCATCACATTTGACCGCTGTTGGTTTGTAACTTTAAACATTACAATAAAAATCCTCTGCTTTCTAGTTGTTTGTGGGGGCTCTACCACTATGACTGTCATCACATTTGACCACTGTTGGTTTGTAACTTTAAACATTACAATAAAACTCTTCTGCTTTCTAGTTGTTTGTGGGGGCTCTACCACTATGACTGTCATCACATTTGACCACTGTTGGTTTGTAACTTTAAACGTTTAGTCTCCTGGTGGCGTGTACATTTCTGAAAACAACTCAAGTTCTATGATTTATGTTGCAAAATATTTCCTTCGTCACAGCAGCAGATGATGATGATGATGTCATCTTAGTTGGTGAGGATAAACCAACTCCTGAACAGATTGCGAAGGCCAGACAATTTCTCCTCCCTGACGCGTTCTACCTGTATGAGAAGAAACCTGCGTGTCCAGGATGTTTGGGTTGCCATGATGGGGAAGCTCCTCCCAGTGCCCCAGTCAGTAAAACCACTGTGTCAACAAAGAAATTAAAAGGTGCACAGCAGAGAGAATACGTCTTAATTAGTTATTCATTTATTTTAAAATCTATATATTTAAATATTTTGCGTAATTATAATGCTATTTTCCATGTTCATGCCCAATATTGATCAGTGTGGCTTATAGTTTAACGTGTCAAAATATAATAAATTTTCAGAAACCCACAGAACTGAAATGCCAGCACAACCCACATTTGGGTTTGGGAATTCTGGAAACCTACCAGACTTTGCCAGCTTGACGTCAGACACACCTGCTGACAAGGACGGGGGCAGTTTTGTGTTTGGGGCCAAGACCACTGTGGACTTCTCCAGCTTGGCATCCAAAACCAATGCCCAGGATTTCACATGGAAGAAATGTAAACAGAAATATTTTTTAAAAATACACTTTGTTTTTTAATTGGATGACATGGTTGCAACATTTTGTCAACTTGCCATTAAGTCTATCATTTTATTCTTCACATTATCTCAGAATATTGTTTATCACGGAGACTTTTTGAATATTCAGGGAACTTTTTATTTCATTAATATGGGAGAAAAAATTAATTTAAGATGGGTTTTTTTTTTTATGCATTCTTTTGGTTTTGATCCACAGCAGACTCGTCGGCACCCTTTAAATTTGCCGGAGCTGGTCAAAGATTGTTTGGTGCAGGTGGTGGTGGATCAGGGGGTGGGGATCATGAAGGAGAGGATGGGGATGACAGTGGGGTCACACCAAGTGATGATATTCACTTTGAGCCGGTCATACCTCTGCCTGATTTGGTGGAAGTGAAAACTGGTAAGGTAACTCGTAACTCGAGGATGAAATCTTAAAAATAATTTTAGGGCTTTGCCTCGATTCAAGTAACTAAATACATTTATTTTCTGTACAATGTGTTGCCCGTCTAAAGAGTTGTGTTGGGAAGTAAGTGTGTAGCAGCTGGGTAGGAGGTGTGTGGCAGCTGGGTGGGAGGTGTGTGGCATCTGGGTGGGAGGTGTGTGGCAGCTGGGTGGGAGGTGTGTGGCAGCTGGGTGGGAGGTGTGTGGCATCTGGGGGGAGGTGTGGGGCAGCTGGGGGGGAGGGGTGTGGCAGTGCTGGGTGGGAGGTGTGTGGCATCTGGGTGGGAGGTGTGTGGCATCTGGTGGGAGGTGTGTGGCAGCTGGGTGGGAGGTGTGTGGCAGCTGGGTGGGAGGTGTCTGTCATCTGGGTGGGAGGTGTGTGGCAGCTGGGTGGGAGGTTCAATGAAATAAAATCTTGATTGAAAGGATTGTAAGAGACATATATCCCTATTGGCCATTGTTTATAACAGTCTCTTTTGGATTTTCACTATTTCAGGTGAGGAGGACTGGAAAGCATTGTTTTGTCAAAGGGCAAAATTGTACAAGTTTGACACTAATTTAAGTCAGTGGAAAGAAAGGGCCATTGGTGAGATGAAGATCATGAGCCACAATACTAAAAGTGAGTATCTCTATCATAGCTCTGTACTATGAACATTTTAAATGTTTATTGTTCATCAGTCACACAAAAGAATAATAGTTGTGAATATCTGTACTGACTTCGCTGTTTACGCAAGGGGTTTGGCATAGGGCGGCAGGGGGAAGTTCCTGATACAGAAGTACACCAACAGGCTGGCCTATTCAGCATCCATGTGTTCTACATAAAGGTCAAGCCAGATGGACTGCCTAAACAACTAATGTACAGTGAACTATCCCGAGGGAAATGCTCAGCTGGTGGGAAGAAGAATCATTTCAAAGAATGCCGAAAGGTGTCCTTGAAATCCATGGACATTGACCTGAACTCACATGAAACACTTGCTTTGGATAACACAGGCTGGTGAAGCAGAGTCACTATTGGAGTATTCTCTTCTGTTAATGTACCACACACACCTAAAAGTGCACTGCAAGGAAAAGAAACAATACAACAAAGAATATAGAACATGTGTTTCCTACACGCCGGCAAGCTTTACAGGTTCAAATAGGACTATCAGGCCACCTGTGTGCCCACTGTCCTTTTTAGCCTTGGTCATCAATAGATGCAAAGGACAAACAACAAAACAGAACCATGGGTTAAAGAACAAGAGAAACCAAAATTTCATTTTAGGATAATGCATAGTTTCATGATATGACAAATTAAATACCAGTATTTTAAAAAAAATTACTTTAACATGTATCTGATTTGGAGATTAGCTGCTGCTAATTGAGTGTATGAGAGGAAACAATAGGATCAAACTAAGACCTTCCAGATCTTTACTTCGTTTCGTCATCATCATTTGTCCTGTGAGTTCCTTATGGAACATGGGGCCCTTATCAAAGCACGCCACTTTTCACAGTCCCTTACCAGTATTTTTAGTTCTTCTCTACTTAGGTGATTTTTAAACAACTTCACATCGCTCCCCTCCCCACCTTTTTTTTTAATATAGAAGATTCTAATAGGTAAATAAAAAAACAAAACTAGAAATGCTTGGGTCATTGTTTTCACGAAAGTAGTAGTTATCCGCATACTTCCACCTTATTTTTTTCAACATTTGGCTACAGGGCGTAGAGGCGTATTAATTGGAGTGATTGATGTTTAGGAATGTGCAGGAACTCATGTGCAAATGACATGATATGCTTCTACCTGGTACACAGAGGAGATCATTGTTTTTTAAAACTTTGTTTTCATTGAGACAGGAAGGCACGTAATGAAATTCATGTTAGCAAAATTGAGAGTTTAAATTAATGAAATTGTTCATTCATTCTCAGCTATGTTCAGAATACTACAGCGTAGAGAACAGGTTCTCAAAGTGGCTTGTAACCACCTCATCTCAGTTGACATGGAACTAAAACCCATGGCCACGTCAGAAACAGCTTGGTGCTGGATAGCAACAGACTACACTGATACAGAACCAAGTGTTGATCAGTTTGCCGTCAAATTCAAGGTAAACTCACAGACTAAACTCACAGTCAAGCTTTAGAAATTTTGAACACATTTTTTTATATTTATTTTTTTAATTTTTTTTTTAGGGGATGAATAAAATAGTTAAAATTTGAAGTTGAACTTCATTTCTGAGTATTGATAGTAAAGTTACACTTTTTATACACTGTATCAGTGCTTTAAACACATATTCCCATTCATTATAATCTAGAGAAAAGTTTCTGGAGTTAAAAAGCATGTAGACTTTTTCTGTTACCTTCTCTGATTAATTTCTAGACCTCGTTCATGGAGCAAAACTAAAAGCCCAATGGGGCAGTCAGTGTATGATCTATCACAATTGGACTTTCTGTTGAAAAAAATGAAACCTTGTTCTCTATGAGTTTTGTAATACTTCTAACAATATTTATCTTAAATATTGGCATATTGTAAAACAAGTTCTCTATGACCTGAAATCCTTATAAGCTATGCAAAACTTCTCAGCTGTGAAAGCTGCTTGGTTACCACTCACTATTATTGAATAGATTACTTTAGTATTAGCCCTGACAATTGGAATCAGGAAATTTGTTTGAAAGAAATTTCGTTGCCGGAAAATTGATAGGAAATTTGATTGATCAGAATTTTGATCCGTTCAATCAAATTTCCGTCAATCAATTTTCCATCGACAAAATTTCTTTCAAACAAATTTCCGGAAACCCTGAAAATAATTACAATGTACAATTGTAGGTCTACATGTGGAAGAATGTGTAATTTGACGCTATTCATTTGACAGATGAAATTTAAACTATTTTTTTTTGGTAATTTAAATCTAAATAAAGAATCAAGTTTTGATCAATGTAAATGTTGGCTAGTGGATAGAAATGAAGAGAAATCTAAACAAACCTTTTCTTGTAACATTAAATAATTAGTGTCTTGAAATGTAAATAACAGTGGTCTTAATGCATTTCCTCACATCTCGTATGTTTCATATATAAGAAAAATCTAAATTATTTCATATGTTATAAAAACAAAAATTATTTCTTATTCAACAAAAATGAAAAATTGACCCCAGGCATAATAATAATAAAATCTAACTTTTCTCTTCTTCACTGGTTTGCAAGATTGCGAAAACACTTGAAAAATTTATTACTAGATTTTAAAAATTAGAAGTTAAGCCAAAACTGAATTTTCTTTATTGTCAAATATAAATATAACACCAGTAATGACAAATAAATAGGTTTGTATTAAATTTTAAAAATAATGAAAGCTTTTGGAGCATTGGCATGACTTGCTAAACATGTTCAAGACTGATTTTTTAATTTTCTTTTCCTCTGAGAGATAAATGTATTTTCATTTCTTCTGCATTGCTCTTTAGAACAAGGACATAGCAGCTGAGTTCAAAGAAATATTTCAAAATTGTCAAAAGAAACTTGCAGAACCAGGTAGGTTAAAAATATAGCTCAAATTAAATCTTAAATAATGGAAAAGAACTGATTACTGCTTTTTGTGTGGGGCTTCTGCTATGAGTAAAACAAATAGTAATGGGTGAAACACTGTTGCAGACCTGTTTACTCTTCCAATTTTGGCGTACAATCTACGATTTTGAGATATCTTTTACGTTTGTACTTTAAGACCTGTCAGAGCTACGATTTTAAGAGACCAGTTTGAAAATAGTCTGGTAGTATTTCTGATTTAAAAAAGAATTTTAAAGTACATTTTCGGTTATTTATTATTTTGAGCTTCTTTCTAAATCCAGCGGTGAATGGATCGACAAGTAATGATTGGTTTTTGGGACCATCTATAATTATATTATGTTTGGCCTGAAAGGTGATTTTTGTCTGGGGGGTTGGGGGGGGGGTGTCTAAATATTTATAATTTATAACAACACCACCACAACTTTTTCGTAATGATGGTCATATTGTTGCTATGTGTTTTCATAACGAACTCACTAGACATGGCAACAGTAAAATCAACCTAGTTGCCCTGGTGAAAATTTTAGTAAATCCTCTATGCTTCTGTGCATATGACCTAATTTTGTGACATTTCGTTCCGTATGTTCACCTAAATATTAATTGACATCTATAGATAGTAGATATACGTCTGCAAAACAAAGTGACTTCAAACTGCAATGTAATTTATATTATAAACATCGGTCATCTGCTTTTGGAAATTACCTTTTTATACATGAGCGTAACACAATCCCACAAGAGACTCGATGCGAGTAGTTATTCTATACATTATAAATAATGTATGTTTATATATTTACTTTTAAGATACAGTATTGTACCATTATGAGATGATATATTATGGTTTTAGGAGTTTGAGGATAAACAGGTCTACTGTTATGGAAATTATGGATTTTTTTTTGCATAATGTAAATGTTTTATACAATGGTGTTACATTATTAACCCTATAACTGTCATTATGGTCCATTAGCCGTTACTCCCCTCAAAATGTATTCAGAAACAATGGCGAAAGACAGTCCCATTATCTATAATAAAATGGTGTATTAAAAATCTTAATTTTTGTTTACCCCCTTTGGACTCATGGAAACACCATTCAGATGACATACAGCTCGAGTTGCATTTTTGTTTTTGTGATTTAACCAAAGAGAGAAAATTTTGTATAATTAGCTGTACCACTTAGAGACATGTCATTTCTACAATTGAAATCTACAAGTGTAAGGTATTTTAAATGCTTCATTTTAAATGAGGTGATGAAATTACACACAAGGCTCTCCTCCCTTGACATTGTTCGAAGATGTCAGGCTGACTGCTGTGTCAGACCCATGTTTTAATAGTCTTGTGGATTTCATTCATTATTTTAATTTTTATAATTAATTTATACTTGGGGTTGTGCTCATTAAAATTTTCATTGCAGACCTGGTTTAGCCATGGCTTTGAAAGTCATGTCATGTGATGCATGGTTTTGTTTTTTTTTTTCTTCTAAAATTAAATGTGATTTGAACTTGAAATGAATTAGTTAGCATCACATCATAATGAAATAGGTGTCTACTGGTTTCAGTAAGTAAGCTCAGATTTTCTAACAAGTCATAATAAAATAGGTCATCTACTGCAGCATTTCCCAAACTTTTAAGTTTCACGGACCGGTGGACAAGTTTCGAAACTGCACAGAGGACCGATGCCAGATTTATTAATTACATTTTCTTTCTATTTAAACATCAATATTCATGCTCTCTGGACCGGTAACGAAAGGCTTGTGGACCGGTGCCGGTCCAACTACCGTTTGGGGAATGCTGATCTACTGGGTTCAGTAAATGAGTTAAGATTTTCTAACAAATCAAAATAAAATAGGCCATCTCCTGGGTTCAGTAAATAAGTTCAGATTTTCTAACAAATCATAATAAAATAGGCCATCTCCTGGGTTCAGTAAATAAGTTCAGATTTTCTAACAAATCATAATAAAATAGGCCATCTCCTGGGTTCAGTAAATAAGTTCAGATTTTCTAACAAGCTTATGGCGCATTGTTTGTTTGGTCTGTCAGTTTTGATTTCTTTTATTTAGTGAAGTCAACTGCTGTGCCAGCCATGGCTGCCTCAAAAACTTTGAGAGGCAGTGTGGAGCGTTCATTGACTCTGGACATTGCGGAGAAAGACATCATTGTCCCAACCACTCATACAAATGTCAGTGCACTCGGCAACTTGTGGCGAACGATGAATCAAGTTTCTGTCACTGACGACAGTCAACAAGAAATAGAAAGTGCTTCTAAAGAAGATGTGAGGGGCATAGTCGAAACAGAAGTAATGGAATCTTCTTATTTGAAAAAGCTGGGAGACAAAGGCAACAGACATCACACAAAAGCATTAGATGTTTCAGGACAAGATGAAATTGTACCTGCCTCTTACGCACCTTTGGGTGGAAAGTTAGTCAATGAGAAGAGGTTTGAGGCTGGTAATGTAACACCTCTGGGAGATAAAGGCAACAGACATCACACAAAAGCATTAGATGTTTCAGGACAAGATGAAATTGTACCTGCGTCTTATGCACCTTTGGGTGGAAAGTTAGTCAATGAGAAGAGGTTTGAGGCTGGTAATGTAACACCTCTGGGAGATAAAGGCAACAGACATCACACAAAAGCATTAGATGTTTCAGGACAAGATGAAATTGTACCTGCCTCTTACGCACCTTTGGGTGGAAAGTTAGTCAATGAGAAGAGGTTTGAGGCTGGTAATGTAACACCTCTGGGAGATAAAGGCAACAGACATCACACAAAAGCATTAGATGTTTCAGGACAAGATGAAATTGTACCTGCGTCTTATGCACCTTTGGGTGAAAAGTTAGTGAATGAGAAGTTTGAGGCAGGTAATGTAACACCTCTGGGAGACAAAGGCAACAGACATCACACAAAAGCATTGGATGTTTCAGGACAAGATGAAATTGTACCTGCGTCTTATGCACCTTTGGGTGGAAAGTTAGTGAATGAGAAAAGGTTTGAGGCGGGTAATGTAACACCTCTGGGAGACAAAGGCAACAGACATCACACAAAAGCATTAGATGTTTCAGGACAAGATGAAATTGTACCTGCGTCTTATGCACCTTTGGGTGGAAAGTTAGTAAATGAGAAGAAGTTTGAGGCGGGTAATGTAACACCTCTGGGAGACAAAGGGAACAGACATCACACAAAAGCATTAGATGTTTCAGGACAAGATGAAATTGTATCTGCCTCTTATGCACCTTTGGGTGGAAAGTTAGTGAATGAGAGAAGGTTTGAGGCGGGTAATGTAACACCTCTGGGAGACAAAGGCAACAGACATCACACAAAAGCATTAGATGTTTCAGGACAAGATGAAATTGTACCTGCCTCTTATGCACCTTTGTCTGGACAACAACCTCAGCCCAACCATCCAGTATGCCTGCCACTGCAAGGCAGTATGGGCAACCCATATCATACCCAAATGTTGAATGTCCTTGGTCAAGACACGATAGCTTTTACCAGCAGCACACCATTAGGTGATAGAGGCAATGTCTACCACACCAGGCTGCTGGACAGCGGGTTAACAACAGACTCTGGTATGTTGAATTAACCGTAGGCATCTAATCCATCCTGTATGCCTCATTTAAATACAGTACTAAAAGCTTGGCATGATCGCTATGGGTGCCTTTATGCATTTAGCCATAAGAAAACTTTCATTTTACACCATTCTTGAACTTGATTATTCTTGGTGAAAAATTTCAAATTTTTTCTGTCTTATTTTGGACATTTAAGATTTTCGCCACTTTTTATTTCCATGATATTTCCATGAGATTGGGACAAATATATTAAACTATAAAAGCTTTCTTAATTTATTGCTTATTGTGCCACGCTGAGTTTGGTTAGCGTCCACAGACTAGAAGTACTTCATTTAGATTTTTAAAAAATTCTCTTGGGGAAAAAAAAATTGTCTAGAAACTAAATTTTTACCGGCCCAGCTTAGAACTGTTATAAACTTGTCCCAGTTGGCTAACGCTGTTGTAGATGTTGAATGTACAACCCATTTACAGTTATGTGCTTGCTTTAATAAAAATAGATACTGGAAGCTATACACTTATTAGGTCATCTGTCTTTGTGATTGCATCTCAGCCATCCCTGTACTTGAAGCTATACACTTATTAGGTCATCTTTCATTGTGATAGCATCTCAACCTTCCTGTACTTGAAGCTATACACTTATTAGGTCATCTCAAATGGTAATGGCATCTCAACCTTCCAGTTAATTGAAACTATACAATGTACTTATCATTCATTTTAATGAATAATCTACCTTATTGGAGCATTGCTGTTGTAGACAAACAGGTAGATACATATATATATATATATATATATATATACTATCTTTAATGCTTTAACAACGTTTAACAAGTTTTCATAAAGACTATTGGGTTAAGCCTGAATAAAGGACACAACAAAAAACCACAGCAAATGTGTCAGCTAGTAGACATAGTTAGGATAAACCTTGCAACATCTTAGTAAGTTAATTTTGTTGACCTTTAGGACGGTTCATTTTGCAATTTATCCAAATAATGAACACTGTATAACCAAAACCTTGCCTTTTGTAATAGTGTGAAGTGAACCTGTGGCCATTTGTCTTCTCTGATACCTCAGATATTACTGTAAGGGCCATGTCAATTTGTACTGTAAAATTATCGATTGGTCTTATGCTCCAAATATTACTGTAAGGACTTTCTGTGAGAATTTATGCCTCAAATATTACTACAAGCATACGAGCTAGCTATGAGAACTGATATCGCTTATTTTACTGTAAGGGTCATCTATGAATGACCCTTACAGTAAAATAAGCGATATAGCTCTAAGGGCTATGACAACTGATCTTTTATATTTAAACAGTTCTGGGGTGAAATATGCTTTATTTTTCAAAATGTTAGCATCAATACTTATTCTTTTCTTTTGTTGAAATAAATGGCTGTGAAATTTTTTTTTTTATGATATCTGTAGTGCATGATAGAATTATATACTTTATTGTCATCACTTTGTGCTAAAATACTTTTAGCTTCCCTACTTGTTAATCATCATTAAATTTGCTTCCTCCTTTTATTATTAATATATAATGATAATCATCATCATTATTCCAATGAACACTATTGTATCATTTATTTGTTCACACCCTATGTACGTTGCACCCTAGTGAATTATTGCTCATTGATCAAGTTTGCTGTAAGTACAAACTTCACCTCATGGAACCAATTGAAACATGCTAATCTTAGAGGATTGATTATATCAGAGTATTTACCACGTAATTAATCGTAACCCAAGACGCGTGCCATGTTTGATACAGAATTTAAAGTTACCTTATTTAAAAAGGCTGAAAGAGGGCTCTTGACAATACTTTGTTTTGGGTTCACAAAATCTTTAGTAATGGAGGTGTTTGTGTACAGAAAATATTTCAAAGAATTGTGACATGCCTTGGTTAGCACATTCTGATGGGCATAGGTTAGCACATTCTGGTGGGCCTAGGTTAGCACATTCTGATGGTCCTAGGTTAGCACATTCTGGTGGGCCTAGGTTAGCACATTCTGGTTGGCCTAGGTTAGCACATTCTGGTGGACCTAGGTTGGCACATTCTGGTGGGCCTAGGTTGGCACATTCTGGTGGGCCTAGGTCAGCACATTCTGATGGACCTATGTTAGCACATTCTGGTCGGCCTAGGTTAGCACATTCTGGTTGGCCTAGGTTAGCACATTCTGGTGGACCTAGGTTGGCACATTCTGGTGGGCCTAGGTCGGCACATTCTGGTGGGCCTAGGTCAGCACATTCTGATGGGCCTATGTTAGCACATTCTGATGGGCCTAGGTTAGCACATTCTGGTGGGCCTAGGTTAGCACATTCTGGTTGGCCTAGGTTAGCACATTCTGGTTGGCCTAGGTTAGCACATTCTGGTGGGCCTAGGTTGGCACATTCTGGTGGGCCTAGGTCGGCACATTCTGGTTGGCCTAGGTTAGCACATTCTGGTTGGCCTAGGTTAGCACATTCTGGTGGGCCTAGGTTGGCACATTCTGATGGGCCTAGGTCAGCACATTCTGATGGAGCATAGGCTAGCACATTCTGACACACCTGTATAGTATTTTTTGTAGATTTTGAATTTGGCTCTTAGTGTTTAGATATCTATTTATTTATTATTCTTTATTTGTGTGTGGAAGTTGTAAAGTTTGTATTATATCAATTATTAAAACTTTTTTGGGATTATCCTCACATTTGTTCAGCTATATCTTTCTGTGAATTCTGATCAGATTTATGACAATTAGTTTAGTGGGTTCATTAGAGCACATTTCATATTCCATGTACATTATTATTTCTTTACATCTCTAGACTAATGCAAACATTTTACCTTAGATTCATTAAGGCTTTTATAACCATGTTTATTCAAGTTAACATATAAACATTTATAAAAAATACAATAAAAATGTCCACTTTTTAATGTGCTCAGTTTGAATGTGTTCATTAATAGTTAATTCAAGTCTCCCTTTCGCTGTCAGTAATTTTGATCTAAGCATACTATTGTGGCAATATTGACAAAATTAACTTATCATTATATGGTTGGTACATTTCATTGAGGTAAAATTATATATATATATATACATTTTTAAATACTTATTTATATTTAATACTGTTAATAAAAATCATTAATTGTGCAGTTTATTGGCATAAAACTTACGTACAGTGATTCACATTGAATCTCCGATTTAACAGAAACTTAAATAGTTGACTGGACTTAGACCTGGTTTAGGCAGTGCCTGAACTTCCATACAACATAGCCAGATTATTTCTTATACTAGTCATAGTGCATGTCAAAATACGTAGGCGAAGGCATTTTCATTAAAAGACCAATTAAAACATTTTGTTTAAGCCTAAAAAAACCCACTGACATAAAAAAATTAAACCATCTCCAGATTTCATAACTGAGCCTTGACCTATTTTTCAGATCTCCAAGGTCACCAGCAAGAGTATTATGAACAGGAGGAAGGGGATGCTAATGATGAAGAGGAAGGTTATGAAGAAGATGAAGAGGAGGATAAGATCCTGTTTGAAAAGAGGACAACTCTGAGCTCTTTTGAGAATGGTGTCTGGAAGGTGAGTGCTGAGATTTGTTGAAAAACCAGTAGTTAAATGTAAACAAAAGTTGTCAACCCAGAGGCTTAGCTAAGGGAGTCGGAGGGGGGGGGGGGCGGGCTAGATGTCCCTGGGTGCCAGACTAGTTTGGGGCACCAAAATGTGATTTGATATTATTTTATTGATGCAAATAATGGGTTGGAGAGTTGAAAAAAGAATGGTAGGCTCTTTTAAAATGAATCTTGTCCCCGGGCGCCAAACACTCTAGCTACGCCTCTGTGTCAACCATAAAGTATTTACAACTGGTCATTTTAAGCCATCAGAACTGCTGGAATAAACTACCAAGTAACTCTTCTAAGACTATTGATATAAAACGTTTTCACTAACTACATGTCTTTTCTCTGTCACATAGACTAGTTACAATGAAATTTCCAAGGAAATGTTAATTTTGAAAGTTCAATTTTAGTTGATCTATGAGGCTACCCTTATGTGGGGAAACATTTATAGTTTTTTACCTACCAACCCTTCTCTCCTCCCCCCCCCCCCCCACTCTATTTTTTAAATTTTCAAGGAAATTTTAATTTTTAAAGTTCAATTTTTTTTGATCTATTAGGCTACCCTTATTTGGGGAAACATTTATAGTTTTTTCCCCACCAACCCTTCTCTCCCCCCCCCCCCCCCCAATGCATTTTTACTAAACTTTTGCCTTCTCAAGATATTTCCTTACAGGCCTTTGATTTCATCTCTTGTAATTTATAAACTATATATAGTTTGATGAAAATGAATATCCAGATATTTGCTACTAAACAAATCGTTTGCAGTCTAAAACCAGTTTTGCTGGATTGATTACTTTCTGATGCTATTTAAGGATATAATAATTTGTTCCTCAGAAACTTGGCCAGGGTACACTTGTAGTGACTTACAATGATGATCTCAATGGCAATAGTGTACATTTCAGCCTGGACAATGGTGATAAATTATGCAGCCATGTTATATGCAGAGAGCACAAGATAACACTGTGAGTTCCTCTGGTCATTGTTCTGTATTAACTAAGATACAACATATTGTTAGGGCAGCGACCAATCATAATTATAGTTAGTACGCTACCGTTCTGGAACAGCAATTTGCTATTTATCGGGTCTGGATCAAAACGTTTAATATATTTTCAATTTTTTGCTTTCATGTATTTTTTGCCAATTAGGGTTGTAGCACTTTGCATATTTCTGATCAATAAGCCACTTTCATTGTTTTATTTTTTTAAAGTTCTTTGCTTTGAAATACATATTAGTATTGTTAATAAATTTTACTGATATTAAATATTTTTTTTTAAATTAATGACAATGATAGAGCTACTATTAATTTTGGGTCGGGGGAGTTATAGCAATAACCGTGTGAAGCAATCGTTCCTCTTATTTCCAAACATAGCTAGGGCTATGCTACTGAGAAGCATGTCACATCAAAGGCTGGTGTTATCCAAATGTCATCGCAATAAGTGACTGGTGAAGTAGCCCCCTAGAAACTGGCTGCCATAAATTTTCATAGGAGACACAATTTTATTCATTCGAAATTATTTATTTGAGAGTAAAAGATATTATGGAAAAAATTATCAATAAACTTACCCATCTCTTCATATTCCAAAATCTTATTTAAAATTTAATTTGAAGACTAAATACATATTTAAGACGTTTTGGTTAAACACAAATTGCATGAACCTAAATTAAATTGTACCCAACACACACACACACATATATAGGGGTATACATATATATATTTATATGGGTATATATATATATATATATATACATTATATCTATTAAATAAGTGAAAGAAAATACCTCCCAGTAACCCAAATAGAAGCCCAGCTTTTATCAACCAATTGACTCATTTTCCCTAATCACACTCACACAGGACCAAAAATGTGCAAGTTAAACAAATATTTAAAACTTTTTAGTGCATTTAAATATAAAAGTGTTAAAGTTAGTACAATATTTAATTTTAATTAGGAGTTCTGTCGGTGGAAACTTAGGGCTACTTGTGTCCTGAAAGGTGTGCCTTAATTTAGCAAAGAAATCTATATTTATATGAATGTATATTCATGGGTTTCTTGCAATATTGGAATTTATTTCTTCCTTAGAGATCGCACCAGGCATGTATGTGAATGGAAACCAATAGACTACTCCACCGATGAACCCATCCGGAAACATTTTTCAGCAGCTTTCAGCTCAATCCCTGCTGTAGAAGAGTTTGTTACTATATTTACTGAAGTGAGTGAACAACGAGTGATATCAATGCTTAAGTGTTATAATGGCCTGAGGCATAGTGTGCTGACAGTTGGGGATCACTACTGGAATCAAAATATTGTATTTAAAGCTCAGATCACAGCTGATATTAAAGTTAGTGTAAAGGAGATTTGACCCAACTTATTTGAACCCTCCCTGGGTCTGGTGGTCTGACTGAACCCTCCCTGGGTCTGGAGGTATGACTGAACCCTCCCTGGGTTAGGAGGTAAGACTGAACCCTCCCTGGGTCAGAAGGTATGACCAAATAATTTGGAGGTGATTCACAAACACTAAGGCCATTAAAATTGTATAAAAAGGAATAGAATATTTCTGGTTATCACTTAGTGGTATCATTGTAAACCATTGTACATTACCATAATCATTATTATTATTGTTATTTTTATAGAGTCAGGGATTAGCAATGGACTCAGAAATATCAGAAAACATGCCCAGTGACATAGAAGTCCCAGAAATATTTTCTGCAGGTGAAATACATCATTGAGGTAATTAACTGAACTATTTTATTGCAACTAATTTAAAAAAAATTAAAACTTTGTTGCATTTTCATAAAGTAATGTTGATATTTATTATATCGTCAACATTTTCTGAAGTATCCGGTGAAGAATTAATATTATATAATTTTCTAACTCACCATGTGACATAACATATTTTATTTACCTATGTAACAACACTGCACCAAACAATTACAATCGTACATATTTCTCTTTTTAGATTTCACATTGAAGAAACAGTTTACAGAAATCTAATCACTTGGTTGAAATTTATAGAAATGTCTCATTAAGTGAGCAAATTTGTCATTAGTTTATACAGAAATGTGCCGATTATCACGACTATCAATGTATCAGTTACAGTAGAGAGATGAAAACAAAGTATAATTTAAATTTTCTTTTTAATAACTCTCATTCTGAAATTCTTTGTGCAAGGATTGATCAACTCCTATTGTAACAGTTCATTAATTGGTGGAAGCCAAGCTAATGGCTTGAGCATGATTATTTGAGTTCTGGGTTCTATGATGGGTAATAGTTAAAATGACTGGGGAAAAAAAAGGGGAATGTTTGTCATCAGAAACAATATTTTTCATACTGTCCAGGAGTGATTTCTCCGACAATGATTTCATGTACATATTTCAGTTTTGTACTTTCAATAGAAACTCTTTGTGTTCAATTTTTGAAGAGAAATGTAATAGTAATAGTTTTGATGAATTACAAAATGCATGTCACATTTTTCTCCAAAACTGTAAGTTTGCTATTTCAAAGTCAGAATCATAAAATGTCACTATAAAAATAAATAAAGGTGAGAACAATCCAGAGTCTTGTGTAATTTCATTGTTTCTTTTTAAACAAAAATAATAAAAGGTGTTGACATTGATATCCTATATCAAGAGCAGAGCTCTCCAGGACAATAGAAACATGCCAGTTTAGTATTCCAAAAGAAGAGCTTTATATATGTCAAATAGAAAGGAAGAGGAAGCAGGGATATATTTGGAGATCCTGTGGTATTAATATTATGGTCTCAATTACAAAATTTAAAGAAGGAGCAGTGACATAGTTAGAGCTCCTGGGGTGTTATGGTCTCTGATACAACTAAGCTAAAATGACATAACTGAAGTAGATTTAGGGGACAATCTTTTCACTATCATTGTGCAATTTTTAGACCTTAAATTTAGGCATACAGATTAAAATGATGATGCTGTGCCAACATGACCAGTTGAAAGAGTTTTATACTTGTTTACAGTTTTGGTAACAATATATTTATTTATTCATCCCCCATTTGTTGCTGTCCATGTTAATATTTAGATCACCATTCCATTGTCATCTATTTCAATTACTATTGACTCCAAATAAGTTGTGCATCTTTTTTTAATGTTAATTTTGAGGAAATTTTGAAATAAAAATGTAAGGGAAGATTTAAATATTATTAAGAATAAGGCAGATTTGAGCTGACCAAAACATATTTAGAATGCATTGTTATACCCTAGAGCTACAGAATCTTTATTGAGCTAAATTTTTATTTTTGTTCTCCCAGATATTTGTTTGAAGATATATTGAGATTAAATTGTATGTTATATGCATAACCCTAATAAAATAACTTCTTACCTTTAATAGATGAAATAATATATTTGTATTAATGTAGAGCTGGATTTATTTAAAAATTGCTTAACTGCTTAAGTTTTAACATGCTTAACGCTTCTGTAACATTTGTAATACAGTATTTATAAAGCAAAAATTATGTTTTCCTGTAGTGACTGGTTGCAGTAACTATAAACTATACTGGCATTTTTAAACGCATAACACAGGATGGAGAAATTTACAAATAACACCAAATTTTTAAAATTTTTATTTCCCACTTAATTAGAGCCGCTGAGAATTCATTCTCAAATTCTTTGTTTGCTGAATCAAAAGCAGTTAGCAGGCAGATGTATTAACCATTAATGAATTGGTAAAAATATATAGTGAAGTTTTATCCAGAAAAGGAGCTCTGAGAGTTTGCTGGGATGTTATAGAGAAGATTTGGCATGTATAAAAACCATCAACTGAAATAAGTGAAAGCTATTGAAATAGATTTAATTTTTGAAAAAATAATTTTGGAATTATTTTAAAATGTGTTGACTTGAACGAATGAACGCTGGGTGTGTACATCGAGATGATCACAATTTTAAATTGTTGAATTAAAAAAAAACTTTTTCCATAGCATTGGCAAATAAAGTGTTAAATTTCTCTCTCTAGCCATGATTATCTGTCACTTTATAAATTGCAAGTTTTGGTTTGGAGGGGAGAGAGCATTTTGATTTACTGATCAATTTACTGATTATCAAAATAAAAAGGCAAAATATTTCCAGTTGTTCCTTTTTTTTCTTTGTGTCTTTTTCCACAATTTTCAAGGAGACCATGAATCTTTGGAAACAATTTAATAGACAAATCTTAGACACCTTAAGTGTCATACATTTATCATTAAATAAGTAAACACGTGAATTTATATCTAAAAATTGAGTAAAACAAAGTAGGGTTAAACCTGAAAAAAGGAACGCAACAAAACAACGAACGTGTCGGCAGGAAGCCTTCAAAGCCTTGAAGGCTTCCAACCCACACGTTTCTTTATTTTTTTGCGTTCTTTTTTCAGGTTTAACCCTACTTTGTTTTACTCATTTTATATTTTGCTAACCTGATTGCAGTCTCTCCCCTTATTAACCTTGAATTTATATCTGATAGACAAGACAAATCTCTGATTCAATTAACCTTACAAAGACCATAACAAAAATTACAGATCATGATTCAGTGCAGGTTAAAGTTTAATGAATCATGTTTCACAAGGTCAGCATTAAACTTTTATAAAAATAAAATGTTTTAAAAGTCTCATAACATTAGATGACTTTTCTCCAACTGTTTTCAAAATAATTACAGCTTCAACCAATGATTCTTAGCTGAGCTCTCCACCTCATCAAATTAGATGAAATTAAAAAAAGATTGTAAACTGTTGTCTTATGCAAATAATAACATATTTTGCAAACAAATTTGTTATCTCAGAAAATTAATATGCAAAAAAATTTAAAAAACAGTAATTTCACATTTTAATTAAGTATAAAATAATTTTAAGGTTAATTTCAGTGATAAAGATATATTAAATTACATGGGCAAAAATAAAAAAATCCCACAAAAAACACAATCTCAGCAAATCTGCTGTTACCGCAATTATAAAACAAATGTATTTATCCAAATCAATAACTCATTATTCGAGTATTTATCCACATCCACAACTGAAAATTAGTAATAAAAATTCAAACAAAGAATAATTATCTGTTCAAATCTTACAAAAACTGCACTGGGTACCATACTCACAAAAAAGTACATGTCAAAAATCAATTAAAAAAAAAGAAATGCTTTTTTTCAAATTGCAGAAAGGAGTAAATGTCACGTTTGAATCTATTTCAAACAACTTGGTACCAGTTAATAATTACAATTGTATTATATTCACCCCAAATATAATCTTGTACCATCATCATCAAGTATAAATTATATGCAAAAACTATCAAATTGTTAATTAAGAAATTATTGAGATATCTGCTCTAAATAATGTTTCTACTTCTGGGTCATTTGAACATTGTAGTCTGATGCCGGTTGAAATTTAAAAACCAAAATCATCTGGGGGGAAAATGTGACAAAGAAACTCTATTATGAACTTATTTGAGATTTGCTTAGTAACTCAATAATTAATATTTAAAAAATAGATTACTATTAAATTATATTATCTAAATATTTTGAGCCCGTAACTACAGTCTTAATTAAATGGCAAGTGATCGGCCCACCATTTTCCCCTATTTTGGCATCTGGTTTTATTTAGCATTTCTTATGTGTATGGAACCTGTTCAAAATGACTTAGTCAATCCACTTAGATTACTTCTTACCTTCAGATCTTAAGTACCATACCGGTAGTCAAAATGAACCTTATAGCCAACTGGTTAATACTAAGTGACCTAAACACTTTGGTCTAACAATCGGGGCCATGCAAAATATGTGTATTGATATATTATTTATATACTGTTTTGGGGAAAAGGGTGCCTAAATTCTGGCTTTGCCCCGATAGGTAGGCATTAGTCCCTAAATTCTGGCTTTATCCTGATTGGTAGGCATTTGTGTGTAAATTCTGGCTTTATCCTGATTGGTAGGCGTTAGTGTGTAGTTTTTAGGAATACATTGAACAGCCTGGTAGGCATTAGTGTGTGGTAATCTAGGACAGTAGGAAATAGTGGAATTAGTGGTTCAAATTGTCATTTCACCTTGTTACATGCCTGTAGCCAATTTTTTGGGTTTTAGCAGCTATCCTGAAAAGCCTTCTGCTCCTTAGGAGAGTTTGAGAATTGTGTCCCGTTTGACACCCAGCACACTGCAATTAAGATGATCCCCATAATGCGGCAGTTTTGGCCAGAAAGAGAACTTTGTGCCTATTGCATAAAAGCATGTCATAAGCTGTTGGAAAAGCTTGTACGTCGGGTCATACTTCTGGAAGCATCTTTTCTCAGGCCAAAAGATATTGCCAATTTCCAGATGTTACTAGTTTGCAGTGACTCCTCAAAGAGTTTCATTATTAACTGTACCGCCAGTTTTACTTACAGCCTCGAGCCAGGATCATGCTTTGGCTGCAAGTTTCATGATCTGGATGTCAAGAAGCTGATGCACCCAGAAGAGGTCTACATCCAGAGTGCATCCTACCCAGGATTTCAGTACAAGTTTTGATGACTTGCTCAGAGTTTTACTTCAACCATCCTTCACCTTGCCACATGTTCTCAAGACCCTGACAAGAGTTTTACTACCAAGGTCCAAACGATTAAAACAGAAAATACAATTCAGAATTTTTCCTTGTACTTTAATAGCTTTGCTCATTTTGTTTGTTCGTTGATTAAAAAATTTAGTTTATTAACTCATTGTTACAAATTTTGTGTCAAATTGGAATAAGATTTAAACAGCCCTTAGATAATGATAAATCCACTCATAAAGTAGCTTATTGGGCATTGAAAAAGACAGTCAGAGATATGATTATCAAACACTTACTGGATGAACATCTTTTGCCAGAGGAGCAACAGGCCTAAGTACATGAGATAACAAATCCTAGTTGATTAGAACACCAAATAAAGAAAGATAGAGAGAAGAGAGAGAAAGATGGAATGAGTGCTACAGATGATGCTAAAAGACATCAAGATTGAGGGCTCAAATTACTATAGAAAACAGACCTAAAGTCAGGGCTATGACGTCATTAAGCTGACCAGCATTTCACATAGTTGCGATAACTGCACACAATTTTGAAATACCATAATACAGTCTAAAGACTGCGGCTACAACAGTTGTCTACTGGAATATGAAAATGCTGATGAGGTTATATTTTTCTTTGCTATCGATAGCTTGTATTTTGTATTGCTGTAATAGAAAGAGCAGAGTTCTAAACCATTGTTCATTTTTCTCTTCACTAGCTTTTTACAAATCTCTTTAAATAAACTAAATTGTCGAACCCTTAGTACACAAAGTTTCAACCTACTTGTGGAGGATTTGTAGAATCTGTTATTCTGGTATAATTGTCTTAGAAAGATTCATGAACTTCCTGAGAACCATCCACCATAGAAGGGACATCGTATGTTGTGCTGTCAGCTTAAAAGAAAATTGATAGATTGAATTATTTCCATATATCATGGCTTAAGTAAAGTAAAACATACTTGAACACTTTACCTGACAATCAAGAGAACAAAATGAAGCAGGCCAATAAAAACTAGATCAATAACAGAATAGAGATAGTTATGAGGCAGTCTTTCTAATCTAGTGAGAATTATGTGATGTCTTGATCTTCTTACAGGTATATTAAAAAAAAGGGAATGTAAACTAAACACTACCATACTTTAAAAATGTTCAACCATATCTCCATTTTTTAGAAGTTATCTAGAAAATTATAAAATGACATTGTGTTATAGCAGCGATTAAAAGCTAAGATGACCGGTTCCGCTAACAATGAAATGGAGATTGAATATATTGGGCAAGGCAATTGCTATGTAAGGCATGCTGAGCTGGTGTTAACCTGAACGTCAATAAGAAGCATGAAACAAACAGAGCACCATCCATGACTATCTAAAATAACCACCAATCCAGGACAGCAATCTAGTTAAACATTGTCATATGATCTCAGCACTTTACCATCTGTCATGTTCTTATTCCTGATTAGGGAAGGCACTGAGATCAGTTTGAAAGAGCTGTCAGGTGACAACACAGTCTCCCCGACTCCCAACTCTGTCACTGGAGACATCGGTGAAAACCTCATGATGCCATTAAAGCTGGTATTTGACTTTGGGATCATCTGCAAATTCCTAGTTGCGGCAGAATGGTGAGACATATTCACAGGACCCTCTGATGTACCAGCAGCATCATCCTGCAAAAACATTTATTTATTGTTTTTTTTATGCAAGTTTATAATGAAAGATACACTGGAATTAAAAAATAATAATACCAGAAATGTTGGGGGATACAGGAAAGAGAATGACAGGATCAACAAAACAATTGGGGAAAAAAAGGGGTGGAGGGGGGTGTCATAATCCCTTCCATATTTTAAGATAATTCCTGATCCACTTCATAGTTTTACAATGGACCAGGAGAAAGTATAAAATGCATTAAATTTAACTTAAAGCAGTGTTTTCAAAAGTTTTTAGCCCCACACCCCACCAGCACATCACCCTTGTCCTGTCTATAAATGCCCTCAGACCACACCACACCAGCACATCACCCCTTGTCCTGTCTATAAATGCCCTCAAACCACCCCCCCACCAGCACATCACCCCTTGTCCTGTCTATAAATGCCCTCAAACCACCCCCCCACCAGCACATCACCCTTGTCCTGTCTATAAATGCCCTCAAACC